GTACACGCGTTCCTGGCATGGCTCTTCTTCGGTGGGTATAATTTTCTGCATACATGAACTTGACTAATAAATAGTTAGGATTTATCATGTATACTGTCTCCCGAGAGTGCGTCTACTACATTAACCTCCGTCAAGCATATCTTCTCCATCCGTATTATGCTAAGCGCCTGTCATCGAGGACAGTTCTATTCACGTGCGTTCCACAACAGAATTTGGAAGAAGCTAAATTACGAAAAGTATTTGGCGATTCTGTCAAGCATGTTTGGATTCCAAGAGAAACCCGAGAGCTGCAGGATTTGGTGGACGAAAGAAATCAAACTGCTTATCGACTGGAAAGGGCCGAGACAGCATTAATAAAGCTTGCGAATAAAGAGAGAAACCGAGCACTCAAACATGGCCATCCAGACCTTGAATCGAGCATTGGTATCAATTCTGTTCAAGAAACAAAGCGTGGATCTTCAGATATTGAAAATCGTAGACCAAGCTTAATCAGAAGTCCAGCTGATGTAAATCCTAGGGACATTGAGATTTCGGAAGATCCCATGTCACCTACAGATACACTAGTAGGACCAACTTCCAGTCCAATCAATGTAAAGGAAATGGAAGCCAGGGTGACTGAGAAAGCAATGTCGCAAACCAATTCTCAAGCAACGACTGACGAAAATCCCACAACCCCGACTTTGAAATGGGGAGATAATGGATACGGAATGTCTGGGCCTCCTCCTGGAGTAAGTGGATCAATTGCAGCACAATGGATTCCCCACAGCTGGAGACCGACACATCGACCCTTATCAAATTATGGAAGAAGCGTAGATACCATCAAATGGACACGAGCTCGACTGAAGGAAATCGCGCCACAAATCAACAAACTGAGAAGAATGCATCGACAGGGAAAAGTAAAGCCATTACCCGCCGCGTTTATTGAATTCGATACTCAGGTCAATGCTCAATCCGCCTACCAAACATTATCTCATCATCGAGCATTCCATATGACACCACATATCAATGGAATTCGACCACACGAAATCGTATGGGAATCGCTTCGCATGAGATGGTGGGAACGTATTATGCGTAATTTTGCGATCCAAGGTTTCGTGGCCTGTATGGTCATATTTTGGTCCATTCCTTGTGCATTGATAGGAATAGTATCCAACATCAATTTCTTAACCACAAAAATTCCATTCTTGGGTTGGATCAACAAACTTCCATCTTCAATTCTGGGTTTGCTTACGGGCTTGTTACCAGCTCTAGCTTTGACATTTCTTATGGCATTAGTTCCTGTCATTCTACGACATTGTGCGCGTCAAGCTGGAATCCCGTCTTATTCGATGATTGAGCTCTACACACAATCTACTTATTTCATATTCCAAGTTGTACAAGTATTCCTTGTAACAACTATCACTTCTGCTGCATCGGCAGCATTCGAAAAAATCATACAAGACCCCACTTCTGTGCGCTCACTACTTTCGCAAAACCTACCTAAATCATCAAACTTCTACGTTTCGTATTTTATCCTCCAGGGCCTCGCCATGTCCGCCACGAGATTATTGCAACTACCTGCTTTGATTCGTCACTTAATGTTTCAGAATGAGCAAAACCCGAGATTGATGATTAACAAATGGCACCGAATCCGAATTGTCCATTGGGGAGCTGTTTACCCTGTGTTCACAAATATGGGCGTGATAGCCATCACATACTCGCTAATAAGTCCGCTGACAATTGTATTCGCTCTCATGGGTTTATACCTCATCTATCTCGTATCAAAATATAACCTCCTCTACACCTATTCTTCTGAGATATCTACACGAGGACTGCTGTATCCACATGCTCTCAAGCAACTCCTCACAGGTGTATATCTTGCGGAAATCTGTCTCATCGGTCTTTTCGGATTACGAAGCGCATTTGGCCCGTTAGTGATCATGTTCGGCTTAACAATCTTCACAGCATTAATCCATATAAGTCTCAACGAAGCACTCGGTCCACTTCTCTGGAATCTTCCCCGAACCCTTGCTGTCGAAGAATTATATCGCGGACTTGCATTTAATTCGGATTTGCAAACACCCATGCCGACTATGAATCGAGGCAACGCCCATAACGGAGATGAAAACGGGGATTCATTTTTTCCCATGCAGACACCTGTACAAACTCAATCCCAACCAGTAGTATCAACATACATCAGCCACCGCACATCCACAACACCCAATCCACACCCCACCATCTCCGAAGAGACCGAACCCGAATCCGCAAATCACAAAAACTCCTCCCCCCACGACGACTCCGACTCGGAGCAAGAAGACGAAGACGAAACCGACATCCACGATCCCAACCCCCAATCCCGCTCCGCAGCCAAACGAATAGAAGGGCTTCCGCACCTCTCAAAACTAACCCTCACCTTCCTCCTACACGCTCTAAAATCCAAGATCCAACCGCATCTGCACCAGCTAACCCCCTACCTCACCTACCTCACCCCGCTCATCTCCCCCATCTACGACCCCTCCTCCCCTCCCAACTTCTTCATCAAATTCCTACACCCAGAAATCTTCTCCGACTACCATATTCTCCGCACCCTCACTGCTTCGTTACCGCTCATGCCCTCCGGTTTCGAGTATACGACAAAACAGCACGAGGATGCGTATTTTCCGCCCTGTGTAGCGAGGGGTCGAGATCCAAAATTGTGGATTCCGAGGGATGAGGCGGGGGTGAGTAGACAGGAGTGTGAGCATGTGAGGAAGTTTGCGGGGATGGAGTGTAGTGATGAGGGGGTGGAGTTGAGGTTTGAGAATGAGAATGAGGAACAGGGGAAAGGAAAGGGGAAAGGAAGATGGGGGAAGAGAAACGATGGGACTATCGTGGTGAAGGATTTGCAGGCGGAGAATTGTATCTGGGTGAAGGAGACGAAGTTTTAGATTGGAGGGATTGGAGGGGGCACTGGGATGGAAAAGGAGAGTTCCATAGATGTGATGATTATGATTGGGAATTTTGCTTGGTATACTATGGCGTGGTTTTGGATAGACGATGGAATCACAAGGCGTTATATTGAGTATATAGAGAAACATAATTTAATTCAATTTTTGAATGAAAATATTGATTTTTTATTTAATAATTTTAAATAATCTTAAAGTTGTACTAGCCAGCTTTCCCAATTTCTCTAGAGCAACCATTGGATCATAGTGGCCTTCCCCCCTCTTCAATCTATCCACGTGCTCATGTCTCACCACACGCCCACCAGTGAGTGGATGTATAAATTGACGGAGTGCTTCCCAACTATCTGAATTTATACAAAATACATTCTTCGATTGTTTGATATGAGAAATTATAATTTAATTGTCGCATCTCAAATAAACAATCGTAACAATTTCTAAAATATATATATATATACAAGCTGATATATCAAGAAATATCTCCAAAGTCTTTTCTGTAGTATCCCCAAGATCTGAAATTCCCCGCACTTCAACTGAGTAGGTACCCCAAACTTAATGAAAATAAGCACCAGCTACCGCTTTCGTCTTAGCCCACGCCTTATCCAACGCTTCCAGAATCTCCTTCGACAATGGTCCTTTCTCCAGATCCACCAAATTTTCTACCAAATGTTTTTCGCTGCTCGCTCCAATAATAATTTTATCCCCTCTTTCCGCCTCAAGTCCACTATGATGCACCAACCATCTCAATGCGCATTCGCTCTCGGTTAACCCCTCCTTTTTTGCTGCTTCTCTGATGATATCCAAGGCGTCAAACATGGTATCATTCCAGTATCTCTTCCTATACATTTGACCTTGCAGATGCGAATCATCGAAACGAGAAGTTGCTTCGACGGATTCTTGGTTGCGATGGTAGCGTGAAGTGAGGTAGCCGCCGGCGATAGGGTTGAAAGCATAGAAGGACATGTTGTATTTATGAAGACAGGGAAGGAGCTCTGGTTCGATGGAGCGCTGAATGGCATTATATACACCTTGGTATACCGAGGGACGGATCCACTTTTTCGGTGTCAGTTTTGCGTTATCCGACAATTGAATTACGACCGAATAGACTTACGTTGTTTTTGATACAGATTTCTTGGATTTGTGCAACCTCCCATGACATATAATTACTAACACCCAACCTGTTGAATTTTCCTTCCTTGTACAAAACATCGCACATACCAAATGTTTCTTCGTAAGAAACACTTCTATCTGGTGCATGCAGATAAAAGAGATCGACCTTTTCAACACCTAAAGCTTTCAAGCTTTTGTCCAAGTGAAGCCTGAGATCATCCGCTGAATGCGTAATCTTGGAACCAGTCATATTGTTAGGATACAGTTTGGTAGCCATAATGATACCACGGTCAGTGTATGAGGGTTGAAGTTGTCCCAGATATTCTTCTGATGAACCCATGCCGTAGACGCGGGCAGTGTCTATTTCATCGTGACCATGTGACTGAAAGAGTTCGATCATTGAAGAGACATCTTTAAGATCATGGACCCGAGTTTGCATGACACCTTGATAAGTGTTAGTTCCAGAACATTGCAATTCAGGAGGAAAACAACTTACCAGGCTTCCCGAATGTCATTGCACCCAAGACAATGGGTATCTTAGTCTTTGCTTGTGTTTCTGCACCCATATCTGCTGATAGTACCCAGTATTTTTGTGTAAATATAGAGACTGAAGATAAGAACTGTGATGAACTTCGTTTAGAGATTTGGAGGAAGGCCGAGTTGGTTCTTTTGTAGGTTTTGTTCGAGATGCGAGTAGAAGGATGGTCAATTGAAATTAAATGGGAGGTTTAAGAAAGTCTTTATATATTTCTTCTCAGTACTAGTCAACAAATCAGGAATTGATTATTTATTTGTAAATTGTCCCCCATCTGGCGATAACGGATTTTACGTGCAACTTTGGTGGAGTTAAGATTTTCGGCCGGAAAGAGATCGTCCGTTTTGTTACCGAAATCAGTCGGGATGTAACTCGAAAAATGACATTTCGATGATGTAATCTAGCATCCATCAAACGTTTCTCCTGCATCTGAACTAAAGCATATAATGAAAATGTGGATTCTCCCTATCGGTTAAATCCTGAAATGCCATTTTGTCCCTACTCACTTGATCTAATCTGCAGGATGTCAGTCAGCACGATTTGATACAAAGTGACATGAGAGGACAGCAAGATGTATGGAGTAGAAGTAGGTATGCAAAGTGTTCTGCCAATTCAATACGGCGAACCTGGAAGTATCCTGATATCTTCTAGTAGATAAAAGTGGTATAGACTTACTCCATTAATGCTCTCTTGCGATTTTCTCTAGTCAGCACAGCATACAACACCAGTGCTGCTATAATTGTAATGCAATAACTATCCCGCATCAGTAATTTCACCGTGTGTTCATTCAATTTGTAACCTACCAAATGATCAATCCTAACCAAAGCTCTGGATAATGTCTCGATTTCGTTTGTGATATGATCAATTGAGGTCCTACAATATTACCAACACAGTATGCCACAAAAATAGTCGCTGCCATGAAACACTTTTTTGTTTGACCTGCAACATTGGCCATACCAATCGTGATAATCAAGCTCACTACAGGACCAAAAAATCCAACTATAGTATACCCGACAACTGGAGTAGCTGCATGATGATGCCAAGAACTTTTCCATATCATTGCACATCCAGCAATGACTGGCAGACAACAAATAACGAGGAAGAGGATTCGTATATTTGGAATATGCGATGAAAGATAACCAGTAAGTAAGATGAAGATCAAACATATTGCCCCAAGAGGAAATTGGAACAAAATAGAATCTAGAGTTGAATACCCAAAAGTGGAAACGATGAGAGGGCCAAAACCACTGACTGCTCCGTTGACAGTGTAAGCGGAAGCCATCATGATAGCGACGAGCCATACTTTGATATCCAGTAGAGATTCCCTGATCTGATGCCACTTGAACTTTGTGCAGCGAATTCCGGTTTGACCATATCTTAGACGTTCCGTAGCAACCATACGCTCATCTGTCGTAAGAAACCAAGCTGAGACTGGGGAATCTGGTACGAAGAAACAACAAATTCCGAAAAGGAAAGTAAGAGACCCGGCAAGTAAATAAATGTACTGCCATCTTTTAAGGTCTCCACCATCGATTTGTCCGAATCCATAATTCAGTGCACCTCCAATAATGGTGAAAGCCCCAGTTGAGGAAAACCACCAACTCTGTCTTAGAGATTGCTCGGATTGTGTGTAAAAGGAACTAATTATACACATGAATCCAGTTGGGATGATACTTTCGACAAAACCAAGGAAGAACCTTTGTGCATATAGACCGCGCCAATTTGTTACAGCAGCTGTGCACATGCAGATCAAGGCCCACAAGCATACCACGATCCCTATGATCCTACCCATATTAAATCTTTGCAACGCAAATGTCATTGGGTATAAACCGGCCAACATGCCAAAGTAAAAAAGTGATGTTGCCCAACTAAGACGAGAGGTATCTGTAGTATGAGGGGTCACACCGGTATTGGTGATGGAGAGAGATAGATCAGTCGTCATGCCAAAGAGGACTGCGGATCCTAAAATTGCCTGAGAATTGTTAAGTTTGGAATTGATCTAAACAATGAAAAAAATATATCCTACCTTGTCATAATAAACAAGCCCATATCCAATGAACATAGCAGGGACCAAGTATCGATCTATCTTTCGAACGACTCGAGCTTCTACCGCGGGGTCAATTTCATGACGATGCTCTCCCACCACAGCGATAGCGATATCTTTGTCCTGGTCGGCAGATGGTAGAATAGGGGCATCTTGAATTCTCGGAGGCTCTGACGGTACCTGCTTCTCCTCCGCAGCTCCAGCTTCAATGGGAGAATTCATTGCGTGCATGATGAATGGCACATTGATGAAGCTTGAAAATCTTTTGATACCTGGATAAATAGAGCCGAGTCTAACCTAAACTAACCTGAACCCTACATGACGGGAATGTCAAGGGATGGCCCGTAGCTTGGGATCTGGTCTGGACTCATCGTGGCTCGAAGGGAAGACCTTTGGTACGATATCGCATAATACAGCATCAACTGATTCTTCGTTGTGAGCTTGCATGGTCGAGGGCGACGAGTACCTGGTAGTTGAGTAAGGAACCCACGATGTTGTATTGGTGTTGTATCAAAGTAACTTCACTCAAGTAGGTACGTACTGCATTTTGGATTACCGTGTGGAAATGATCATGAACGACTCACAGCCAGCTCATCGATTGGACCATCAAGATGAATGATAAATGAAGATATAATAAATGCCATTCGCCGACATGCTTGAATTAGGATCGTGATGAAAGCTTCAAATACCGAGGCTGGTGTAGTAAATTTTATGTTCTATAACCTTACGAGTACACCAAAATCAATTGATGTCGTCGTGATTGAGTTCTCTCATAGTTTCAGCTACTTCCCGTCCCACTGCACGTAGGTCTAGGCCTGATACCGAGGCTGAGGCTGACTAGCCAGCCTTGCGGTATCGAGAAAAAAATAATTATTGTGTCCACGGGTAACATTGGAATGTCTTTGTGTAACATCAGCCACACCAATTGAAAGACATGATTTCAATACGGCGAGCAGTTAATAAGACTGCGCCATTAATAAGAACTTCAACCTTTCCCATAAGAAATAATATCATCATCCGATCATTAACGACGACCACCCCTCCAAATCCTTGCAGGCAATGGCAGGAAGAGACAAAGCAAACTCGAACGAGAGTGAATATCCGGTACTTTTCCAATTCAACCCATACCTCACCAGCCCTCACTCTACACAACCAAACCGTCGAGAAGATATCCAAGAATGTACGACAATTCTACGATCGCAAAGAGAAATTCCGTATCAATCATGGTTCTACGAATAGCACACGAAATAATGGCAAAGGCAAAAACATAATCAATATTGGCGGGTTATCGCATGTATTGGAAGTCAATCCTGCAACGCAGACAGCATGGGTGGAACCAAATGTGCCAATGGATAGATTGGTAGAGGAGACATTAAAATATGGACTTGTGCCGCCAGTGGTCATGGAATTTCCGGGAATTACTGCTGGAGGAGGATATGCGGGGACATCGGGTGAAAGCAGTTCTTTTCGACATGGTTTCTTCAATGAGACGATCAATCGGGTTGAGATGATTTTGGCAGATGGTCAGGTTATCCAATGTTCGAAGACTGAGAGGCCTGATTTATTTCATGGCGCGGCGGGAGCGGTCGGGAGTATGGGAGTTACAACGTTGGTAGAGCTGCAGTTACAAAAGGCGAGGAAATATGTCGAGACTACATACCACCCGGTATCTGATATGCCAGATGCAATCAAGAAGGTTGAAGAGATGACCGCGGATCCCACGATTGATTATGTGGACGGAATTATGTTTTCGAAAAAGAAGGGTGCTATTATTACTGGTCGTTTGACAGATACCCCAACGGAGAATACTCCAGTACAACGATTTAGTAGTGCTTCGGATCCTTGGTTCTACATGCATGTGGAATCTAGTATCGACAACAGCCAATCCTCCCCCCGATTCGCTATACCTCTCGCAGAATATTTCTTTCGATATGACCGTGGAGCGTTCTGGGTCGGTGCTTCGGCCTTCAAATACTTCTCATTCCCATTCAACAAATTCACACGTTGGTTTCTAGACGACTTTTTACATACACGCATGCTATATACTGCACTTCACACCGCGGGAATGCCACCCGGGTACATCGTTCAAGATCTCGCATTACCATATTCTACCGCCACAGAGTTTGTAGAATACACTGACGAATATTTCGGTATCTATCCCTTATGGCTCTGTCCCCTAAGGCAAAGCCCTATGCCAACCATGCATCCTCACTCCGCCTCCTACGAAGCCGACGGTAAAACTCTCAAGCCGCTCATGAACATCGGTCTCTGGGGCTATGGAAAAGAAAAAGATTTAGTAAAAGCCAACATCAGTCTCGAGAAAAAACTCAAAGAGCTCGGGGGTATGAAATGGTTATACGCACAAACCTACTACAACGAAGAACAATTTTGGGAAATGTACGATCGCAAATGGTACGATGGATTGAGGGAGAAATATGGAGCAACCACCTTACCAAGTGTTTATGAGAAAGTCAAAGCGGCGCCAAAAACAGAGGTGGCGAAGACGCTGAGCATTTCGGAAAAGATCCTAAAAGCATGGCCTATCAGTGGATTTCATGGCATTTATAAGGCGATTCAGAGTAAAACCTATCTAGCAGCAAGGGCTTCGGCATGGAAGACTCTTGATGTGGCGGCGAATGAAGAGAAGGAATCTCATTAGTTGCGATTTGAGCCTCCGGCTAACTGGCAATGTGTCTCATCGCGACAGAAGAGTATTTACCCTCGTGGTCCAGCGGAAAGTGTACATACATACCACATTTCAGCAGAATGGACGATGTACAATATAGCATGTATAGAATTACAAAGGTAAAGTGTTGAAGGTCATTTGGATCAAAAAAAGAGCTGCGACATTTTAGCGCATGTGCATGCACATGTATATGTACAGCGGATTGTATACTTAAACATCTCCATTTCACTACGCAGTCAACCGCGAAGAAAAACCACAATAATAAAGGCCAAATTGGCATTATATCCATCAATCATCGATTGGGTGTTCTTTACAAAATTTCCACATTCATTGCTTTCTCACAACCACACTCATCCCGCAAACCCAATCACAACATACCGCCCCTCACCCCCCACCCCCCTTAAAAATCACCACCGGCTCCCCTAATTTCTTCCAAAGAACCCTACAAGCATCCATACTCGTAATAACATAAATCGACGCATTCCAAAATCCCTGCAGCGGTAACACAAACACAGAAATATACTGAAGCGACATATTAACCATGCCCGGGTACAAAATGGAATAGATGCGATTGGCAGTTGATGGAATCCACGTGATCATCATAGCGAGGAAGAACAGAAGCGAGACTTTCGCATAGGCCCACATAGCCGCGTTAGCTTGTTTATTGGGATGCACACTTGTATATGATGGTTGAGCGGGGGGTAATCCCGGTCTGGAGGGTTTATCGGAGGAGGATTCTTCAGCGGAGTTGGTGGTTGGGAGAAGTTCGGTTTGAGAGCTTCGGGACTTTTCTCTCCGTGCTTTGGGTAGGCTGTCTGGTGATATGCGTTCATTCGCTCTCATGAGTTCTCGTCGCTTGTCGAAGATCTTCTTTCCTGCAAAGGTGTAGATTATGATTGTGATTGATATGGTGATCCTTCACATAGTCAACCAAGAGTCCACAGTGGTGAAAAGGGGTGAAAGGTGTAAACATACCAAACCGGTACGTAAAAGCTCCAGAGTCTCCACAAACCCCATTTGGTCTTGATCCAGCACCATGATACAGCACCTCCATACATAGAGCCGCGATTCTTTGTATGCACAAAGAAAAATACGAAAGCGGGAATGAATGGGAGACCGTAACATAGTAGTATGTACCACTTCTCCAATTGGCGGAGCTCTACCACATCGAAGTGGAAGAAAAATGCACACATGACGTTGCATGCCATGGCCAATGTCCAATATGCATCGGCTGGGAGGAACCTTTTATCCGTTAGAAATAAATTCTTGGAATTGCCTTGCGAAGAATGGAAAGAAAGTACATCTGAATGAGAAAAGCCTGGAATTGACAAAATCGACCATCTGGATCCGCGAGTGCAGAGCGAGAAATCAGCGTAGCGAGATTCGTGAAAATATTACCCAGAGACGCATAGAAAACTAATCGATTAATGGGTTTACGAAATGCGGTGGTGGTAAGAAAGGTTATGATTATGAAGAAACAACCTAGGAGGGAAATTCCAGAACATGTTCGTTCTATCGTGACGATGTTGGCATATTCGTGGCTGGTGATGTTTTCTGCTGATTTCATTTTATGGCTGTTTTAATGGGGGAGGTGCAAGATCGGTAGCGAATTGATAAGATGTGTAAATGAAGTAACAATAGCGGAGGAGGAGAATGGTGATGCTTAGGTAGAGGGCGAATTTGCAATCGATGGAAAGGAGAAGAAGAGGGTTTGGGGGATTCATAGGTAAGGAATAATTATATATTGGATAACAATCTGAGGATCGAAAATACAATCATTGATATATGTCGTGAGTAAGGAATCCATATCGACATGCTGGGTATTCATAAATGTGGAAAGCACTTTGCGAGAAACTTATCAGATAGACTGCATAGCAGTTTCCTCGCAGTATGAAATGTGTGGATTGACGTTGAAAAATCGTACGACATGGCTATGTGACGATAGCCAGAACCAGATGAAGATGTTGCAAGCAATCGGCACTAATTTTGCAAGGTCTGAATGACGATGAAGATGTCTCCAATTGTTTAGGAAAGAAATAAGGCGAAAATAGATGAATCTGTGGGAATGGTAAGAGAGTTCATTGTGAACTCCTTGCTGTTTGACAATTATAATCGCTAAAAATGGTAGGAACGCTGAGCTCCGCGACATGTGATAATCGAGACGGAAGCATTCTGTGACTTCAAAATTACTGCGACTCTAGCAATTTTCGTTATGAATCCAACGGTATCTTAAGATTTCGTAGATTGATTCTTTGAGAGCCCAGGTAACCTTCTGACAACAAGATATATGCCTGGAGATAGGGTGGTCAAATATCTCGAAAGTGTGTTTTGGATTTCATGTCATAACCATTCCTTTTCCCATTCTGGGAGCCTGGAACGTTTCCAACATTATGGCCATAGACAATCGCTTGATATTGGAAGGGTTAGAATGATGGCGCTAAATTCACCTTGTTCAGATCCTTTCACCTAACCGACTTTCGCTAAGTCTAGTACTTGTGTGGGCTGAGGGGCATTTGAAGACCTGACTCTTATCTTTCGAGACCTGGAGTACCTCTAGAGTATTTTTTTCAAGAACGATAATTAGGCAGAAGATATTCCTCACATTACAAAAGTAACGGGAATATCTGATTCTAGTGACATTTCTTACCACTTCATCATTGAACATATTCGCGATACCGAAGCTTACAATTACATTATCACACCAAATTCCAAATCTTTCCCTTCTTTCAATATTGAATAAATAACAATGCCAATTCCGCATTTCCTAAATGATCTCAGACGCACAGAAACCGAAGTTTCGGTACCTAAATTTGATACCGACAGGAGGATATGAACAGCTCAAACAATTATAGAAAGATGGTGTGATAAAATCGAAGTTTTCAAGCGCTTTAATTTTAGAGCGACAAACAGTACATGTTTAATAATTATTGCAGCTCAGAACGAAGACGAATTCAACACAATCTTTGAACCCTTCAAAAAAGCCATCAGCGCAATCGGCTATACACCTATTGCACTTCAGATACAGCAAAAACATACACCGGAACTTAGCAAACCGTCAAAGGGATATGAAGCTTGTATAAAAGGTTGTTGTATACAAATCGAAAATATGCTAAGCGAAAATGAATCGGAAATCAAGTACTTTTTAGGAATGTTCAATGTTCATTCAGTATATGTAGGAACTATCAGAAATTACATCGACGTTGGGACTTTTTCTGACAAAACGAGAAGAACGATAGAGCATAATGTCGCCGTATATTCCACCTTAGCTACCCTGCACAGCTCTAGTACGCCAAGAGCATTTTCGCAAATCTCACGCGGCGTTACAGTTCCTAGCCAATTTCTCGAAGTGGGAGGGGGTTGCAAAAACTTCTGGGATCGTGAAGCGAATAATTTAGATTGGTATAAGATTGTGCTTGATACCGGTAGAACCAGAGGCACAATTTTGAAGGAATGTACTGCAGGGTTCTTTGCGAAGCATGCAAATGACCTCTTTAGGTTTGGCGACAGCATCTCGGATACGTGTGGTGCGACGAGCAACTTCTCTGTTTATAAAATTGATTACAGTAAACGCGATATCGTTAGAATTGAGTTCTCGTCAGACAAATCCAATTCAGATACAACGGGATCAGAAACAACTAAAACGACTGCACCAGAGCCGAAGAAAAAAACAATAGATGGATCCAATTCCGCTACGCCCATAGCAGTTACATCCAGATCAGATAAACCCATAGCGATCTCACCACACCCAAAGAAACCCACACCAGATGGATCAAAGGCAACTACATCCAAAGCAGCTATATCCATACCAGTCAGACCCAAATCAGTTACACACAGATCAGAAAGATCAGAAAGATCAGGTAGATCCAAGGCGGCCCCATCAGAAGCAGATAAATCCACGTCAGATACAACCCCGTTAATCAAACATAGATCAGATAGGCCCAAATCAACTCCATCAAAAGCAGCTAGATCTGGCCAAGAAACTATCAAAGCAGCTAAAACACAGTTTGATAAATCTCTACACAAATTAGATCCACGCAAACTTAATTCCAGACAACATAAAGGCTACAAGGAACTCGAAGGAAGCTAATCCCCAAGAACCCAAAGCAGCTACATCCAATACAACCAAAGCCAAGCCAAACAATTCTAATCAAGAAACTAGAGAAACGACTGCTCGAGGCAAGAATGGGAGCAAAAGTAGAGAAGCATTCATGGCAGGCGTTGAAGGTGGGAAGCGTTGCCTTTTAATAATGAGATTGATCTGTGTTTTGAATTGCGGAACGCTTTTATTAAATCACAAACGTATTCAGATGGCACAATACAACTAGATAAATTACAATAATGATCCTTCCTCGCTGATCTCTCCCTTCATTCTAGAGCAAAGTGATTTCATGTGACAGTGACCAAAAACATCAAAAATGTACTAAGTTTTCGCGGACTATATGTAATTGTGAGTGACAGACCTAGAATTTCTGGTCTGAGAATTTATACAACATCAATGATCGTAGTGACAATTGTTGATCCGTCTTACGTGTTCTAAAAGCCGTCTAGGTAGCAAGAATCCTACCGTAGGATAGACGAAAGGACATGCCGTGGTGAGTGACGGTTGCAAACTATGTAATTCATCTGCCTATGTGTTCTCTCAACCTTATGAGCAATTTGACTGTCATAGGCAAGAGGTCTTTGTATTGGGTTGAACGAATAAATGATTAAAATTGTTACTAGTTTGCACGATGAGTCGAAAAATATGTTTGTCATGATCGTTAAAACATCCCGAGATTTTGATTCCAGTCATGATGATTGATGGCTACTCAAAGCTGTGTCAAAGAAGCAAACTCGAAAGGAATATTTATACTCTTGAAATAAGACATCGAAAGCACCAGGCAATGTTTATCATGTAGCTTTGGAGGGGGCTCTATTCACCACTGCATACAATCATTGGTAGCAAAATCAGGGGTGCTCGCTTCTTACTCAAAAGACCAGCATTGTGGCACGAACGTCTTGTCCTCCTCCTTATGGCAGTGCTGGAGTCAAATTGATTCTGCTCGACTGTAATCAAATGCAAAGGTCGAAAGATTCTGAAGACTAGCTAGCTGGGAATTGAAAGAGACTGTCAGACCCTCTGTTTTGTTACAGAAAAGGAGTGGAGACAACCAGTTATTTTCTCAAGTAGCGTTACTTCAATTTGCACTGGATTGAAGGACAAATAAGCTGCTCCCACTGTGAGGTAAACCGGGGATAATGACATTCCAAAGATCTCAAGAGGAAAGTGCTGACACGAATGTAGACATCCACACCAAGAAATAGTGAAAATCGACGACTTAGACAAGAGTGATGAAAAAGAGACAGCCTGAAAGACCCTTTCAATCCCGTTCATTCAAGCTCCACCATACCACCAGAATTCCCTTCGACAAATTTGTGGAGTGGATTTATATTATATATGAAAGCTTCGTCATACATACGGGACTGAGCATCATTGTTTGATCGAGGGAATCTGATTCTGTTGATCCAAGTATAGTACAATGCGAAAAGAGCTTGGGGATGACCATGGAGTGCCTTACAGGTCTTTGGACACTTGCAGATTATATCCAGATTATTGGACTTTGAAGTCTCGCGAGTGATGCTCTGGAATATCATAGAAATCTGCTGCATCGACTGAGTTTAAACAGCTTCACGTATTAACTGCCCTTGTTTATCGGCTCATAAATGATGATGGTAAGCTTTGCAGATGGCTTGTCGGCTCTTCAGTAGCTGCTGTCGGGGTGGAATATCTAATCATCCATGAAGGCCCAGACCGATTTTATATAGATATGCAAAAGTATCATGTCGTTTGTCCTGTAGCTGGTGATTCAAGAGTCGACGAAATTATCATGAGCAATCGAGCAACGATGATGCGATATTATGTCGAAGATTCGGTAATGCCAAAGCCAGTACTTGAGGGCGAATAGTGCTGCCATGGGAGAAGTTTTGGAGATTCGTTCAATAGGGGTCATAGAGGAGGAGGTTCGCTTGTTCCTCTACTTGGATCATTCTAGTAGTCAGTAAAGGGAAATGTTTCGGGTCTTTGATTGAACTTGACTTACTTACATGTGTTCTTTGCAAAAATGCAACAACCATCTACCAAAGAACAACTTTGTCAGCCTCGAGATATGCTACATGATGAGAGATCAGACGAGAGACAAATAGGAGTCAATGCAACTCGGATCTAATTGTTCAAAATCTCCGCTGCTCATTAAAATCTGTTCAATTATTCACCAAGTGTACAGCCTTTTATATATGACAGTTCGTCAAGCTATTTAAAATTTTAACCTTTGATAGATTTTCCCTTCCCTCCAACCTTTATACAACTCTTTTATATCACCACTTTGTGGAATGATTTGATCAACACTTTCTTTCACACCAAAACATCAACCTATAGAGCCCCTTCTTGAGATTCGAAATATCAGTCACTCTCAGTAACTGGTAATAGAGGTCGTTTTTGTGTTTCTAGGTCTTATTTCTTGTTGAGACGCAATTTGCAAAGCATTGACTTCATGCTTTCGAACCTTTTCAACCTTCCTTCCTCTATCGCAACATATATCACTCCTTTTGCATAGTATTAGGCTATTCTTTTGTTTGGTAAGCACATGAATGACCTTTGAGGTCCCTCTCATCATCTCATCGGCGTCTCTAACTGAACTTAGCTTCTTTCAGACTGACGTTACGCGCTTTTCTCACAATAACCTCGATTAAACGGTCAAGCATCACGCCAAATCTCACTTGTGCCTTGCCTGCCGTCTGTTAGTATGTCTAATCCAGTTCTAGTCCTTATTAACCTTGCACCTCGCTGGCGTCGCTAAATCATATCTTCCTCTTCCAGATCAGTTTGAAGAACCTTCTTCTCAATTTCCTGCAACGCAAGCGCTAGAATACCTCTTAAAGACTCATAAGATACTTCAAGTATTCTGTAAGTACTTCTTATCCGTCAATTAGTTCCAGTCAACTTAACTAACCTGGCTTTAGAAAGACTTGCTGCGCCATTGCAACCTCTCGGTAACCGAAATTCCACGTCGTACAACAACTTCCTCACATTTACACCTCTATACAAATACCTTTTTGAGTATGAACAACAACGTCAATAGCTGGCAATGGGGCCAGCACGCTGCTCCTGCCCCTTTTGGCGCCTTCTCTGCTAGTCCAAGTCGTGGTCAGCATGGTGCCAATTTCGACCGAAACGCTGTGATTGGACCTTATCGCTCATATAACCTCGTCGTTCGAGATTATCTTGTTGGCAACTTGTCCACGTCACACTTACCTCCTGTTTACAGGGGAAATCCCTATGAGCATAGGGCTACATCCTCTAACATGATCGGGGTATCTGGCGGTCCAACTGCCTATTCTGCTCTTAATGCGGTTGCTGCTAACGCAACTGATACCAACGAAGCTATGCGGGCACTAAGCCGTCTAGATCTTGATGCGGCTAACCGTAGTCAAGGTCCTACTTGGGAGTAAGCATCGCCCTCCTCCTTACTTTATCTCCCTTCCCATATATGATCTATCCGATACTAACTATCATAAAACAGAAACACGCCAATGGACATGGTTTCGATCTATATCAAGGGAGAGGATGGCTCAATCGACGGCCCTCCTTTTAACCTCCACAAGTCGTTCTTCACACATCTTTCACCATACTTCGACGCTGTTTTCAACTCTAGTTTTGCCGAATCTGCCACACAAACTCTCCACTTTGCTGAGTCCAGTCGAGAGATATTTGCCATGCTTGTCGACTGGGTATACAAAAAGCAGCTAAACACTCTGGCCGCATTTGAGCTAGATGATCGCAAGAATCTTCCCGTCGGTATCGGCTTGAGTACTCTTCAAGGCAGCGATCTCGATATATATATCAGCAAGTCTCAAGAAACTGCCTTCGAACACACCACCAAGCTTATCAATCTCTGGTTCCTTGCCGACAAGGTCTTGATGCCGGAGCTACAAAATGCCGCTATCCAGGCTATTGAGCTTCTCCGATTCTTCACTCCGTTAGAAGGTGTTCCAGCTGAGATCTCCAGTGCCGTCTACGATAAGACACCAAAGGACTCCCCACTTCGCAAGTACTTTTCGTATACTACACTTCGTCGACTACATCCTCAGTCAGCAGACAAAGGCGAGGACTTCCATCCTGACATGCTCGTCGATATCTTTGATATCGTCAAGTTAGCTGGAGCTGATGCTAAGCTACGTCATTACGGCTTATCCGAGAAGGCTATGGAGTCGTTCTTGGTGGATGTAAAGGGAGGAAGCCAACTAAAGGCTAATCCTAACACCGTTGCACCTCTTGCTGACGACATTTGGGTTGGTTTGTGGGAGGTTAGAAGGAATGCTTTGAAGTTCTAGACATTTCAAGCAGATTGGGGCAATGTTGGGAGGAATTTTGGTACATTTAGATTCTTTTAGAGGTACCTTCATTGGAAGAGAGATAGACAGACTAGATAATAGATTGCCTAACACTAATATACACCTTTTTGGCCACTATAAACTAGTACTCTGATGCATTGTAATGAGGGCGATAAGCTAATTTTTGACATTAATCTATAGAACTAGATCATGATAATGATATGAAGTAAGTGGACTCGTGTCTACTTACAATGGTTATCGGAGCAATTCCCGCTGTGAAATGTAATCTTACATCTCTGGGGGATTCAGACATAGGTCAGCATCAACAATGGGTCAAAACGAGTAAGTTTTAAGGTGAAACTAAGTGGCTTGAAGCAATTAACCACAATTTGACCCTAAAGTGCTCGTTAAATGAAGGTACAAGTATCGAACTTGGAGAGATCAATCTCAAAATGGCTCGAAATACGCACCGAATACAGTCAAGATGATGAATTCACAGGCTGAACTTGGGCTCTGGTAAAGTAACTTGTTTCCAAGTTTGTCATTTTTCCGACGAATGACCTTCAAATTTCATCAGAATGAAGATAATTTTGCTAAGAATTTCATCGAATGACCTACAATTACAGTGTACCACCCTGTAAATGTAGGGCCTAAAGCCTATAGTTTTAGGGTTACAGGCTATATATTCGAGTATAAGGCCTATATTTACAGGCCTACAACTGAGCTTTCATCGGTCATTTTAAAATCTTTCATGTATGAAAAGGATTGAACGAGAGTGTTTTAAATGTTTGTACCTAGAGCCAAGTCCTGGAGACTGACATCTAATCTTTCAATTTCGAATGAGTTTGATATCTACGATGAGAATAAACGCTTAGAGATGTCAATATGACACTTTCACGATTTGAGATACAAGTCGCCTAATCTTTTTGGTCCTGTATTTCACGAGAGGATTATCTTCTAATACTTTCAACCTGATTTTTTTTAAATCTCTGGATGATTAAAGATATTTTGAGTATACTACTATACAATCTCACGAACATAGAATAAATTTCTTTGTTGTTTACTACTGACTTATTTATTGTATGACTTACGACAAATCTTTAGGAGATAATATCGTAATTAGTTAATTTAAAGTAAAAATTCTCACGAGCCGGTAGCAATAAGTCCCATTTTGTTGTGGAAGAAGAATTCGATTGTTTGTTATTAAGACAAAAAATAAGAGATCTAAATCAGTCATCAAATCGAATATTTGTTCTATGCACCTCGAGTACTTTAAATATTTCAGATTTGAATCTCAAGCTGATTAGACTAAAACGTACTTGAGTAAAGAAAAGAAGGAATTGATTCGTTTACGCTCTATAGAGCTTGAACAGATATATAGCTAGTATCGAGATAGCTCTTATATCCAATAGAATAGTCTCGGAAATATCGTTCAATAGTCACATGAATAAGTACAATTCGCGTATGTATTGGTATGCGATTATTTTATTTTTAGCGCGAAGATAGGCTTCTGAACTAGATGATAACATATCATCTGGCCTATAAGTCTTAACAAATGCGACGCGATTTGGAAAAAAATCTCCAAGGAAAGCTGATATTTGAGATTACTATTGACCACGAATTGTGATGAGTATGTAGAAGTTTCTATCGAGTTCGAAGACTTTCGAATTCATTATTTTATCATCCCAGAAATACATGACGAGAGTTTCTGTATTATGAAAGACTTTAGTAGACAGTTATTTCTAACACAAGATAAATTGAGCGACGATAATATAGATGGATATACAGCCCCTGATTATGTATTCTATAATCATTTCCTCGTTACTTTCAAAGTTTCAGATCATAATAGACTCGTTGATTATAACAGCTTAGATAAATTATATATTCACAGTCATTTCATGAAATTGACTATATCTAGATGTCTAAATAGAAATCATAAAACCTGGAATTCCTCATCCATCATCCTGAATTATTTCAAGAGGAGTCAAGCTAGCAATGAAAACTATTGATATTTCCAACATGACGTCATCTAACATATTAAAAGAAAAAGGTTAGGAATGGAAAGCCAAGTTAATAGGATTCCTCTCCACTCCCTATTCTTCACGATGATAACAACCTCATTATTCAATATAAGGTTGTTAGTTGAATCCTTCTCGTCTGACGGTTCAAGCTTCATGCACTTCGAACGTCAAATTTATGATTCACTCATCAAGTCAATAATCCACTTCAATTCAGTAAATTGCAGAATGATCCGAATTAGCAGTAAAGAAGCTTTAGTGTTTGAGAACAATCTGAATGAACGTTACTTGAAAATGAGGGTGTAATAGATATGAGTTCGAAATGAAATGGTCAACATTTTGAGGGGCATAATAAAACTAATATCAACGGAATTTTAGTTCCGCTACATCGTGTCTTCGCTCGATAAGCATTTAATCACCCTGTATCAACGGGTGTCTGAAAATTTCTGCAAATTCACTTGAGGTTCGGGTTCCCGACTGTCAAAAATGTTGGTTGAATCATTGTTCATCATAGCCGCCGTCTTCATAACGTCACTTTCTCAAAATTGCTTTGATACATCTAACTAATTGATTCGCAGTATAAGTAATAGCTGCATCTCTGAAAAATTTATCAAAGATTGCGGACTGTCAATTCTCCGCCTTTCCTGAGATGCGAAGATCTCGGAGTTATTTGCTCCTAGGCTTTTCATCAAAGAAAGCCAACCCTTTCGCTCAGAGTCTAGGTTCCTCCTGAACATGACTATTTTCTTCATGAAGTGTCATGAACACTGCACTTCAACCTTTCTAGACTCATTAGGCACAGTTGGTTTCTTAATTTTTTTTCCAAGTCTAATTCTTTTCCAACACGTGAGCTTTGTCTGGAGACCGAAAATTTGGTTAAAGCGTCGTAATGATCTTCTTTGACAATTAAAAAGCATCGCCATGACTTCAATTCGTTGCAACTATGACTATCGAGACAATGAGAACAGAATACCAAAGATTTGCATACTGCAAGAAGGTTGCTAGTAAAGCAATGATGATTATCTTCTAGAAATATCGAATTCTGTGGCTTAATATAAAAAAGTATGATAATTCCATATCATGACGTTCCCAGTGGAGATTAAAGTCAAGATATTCGACAAAAAAACACATCAACAACATGTCCGCATTTCAACGCAGCGTGAAAAGTCGTGTGGTTCTCGCGGTAGATAATTCGTACCGGGGCCAACCTACTATTCCCAACGGTGCAAAATTATGGTCGGTGGCCATCGACTCCCTGGACGATGGATATGCTTACAACTTTACCGTCACTCGCTCAATTGAAGTGCGCTATTTGAGAGTTGATTATGCAAGACTGAGATCTGCTTTCTCTCTTAAGCGTCTTGGTTCCTACACAAACTCTGTAGACGTCGACGGAGATGTTACATTTGTTGCCAACTCACTTTGCGTGGCCCTCCAAAGGTTCATGTATAACGGAAGTCATAGAATACGGGGTGCAACCTTGCCAGTTGGTATTTGGATAAAATTTGACGATGGTCCGTCCATTCATTTCAATACCACTTTGAATGTTGAAGCAGGTCCAACCTACGGCAGTTTATTCCCGGGGCCGTCTCCTCTTGATCTGCATCGGTTCATTGATATGGCGATATTGTCTATGAATATCGAAATACCGTCTCTTATACCGAAGCAGGTAGATCAAGATGTCGCTTCTATCCAGAACAAATTAATAGAGGTTGCTCCGATCAGCGATAAATCATATCGAGCTTTGGGCCCTAAATCTTCCCTTTTTGATGCATACCCAAGCCCCAGATCATGTTCCTGGACAAGAGACAAGGCAATCGCAAGGATGCTTTTACATGGACAGCAACCAAATGACGGTAACTCAAAGGTTCTCGTGATCGGTAAAGATGAGTCCATGCGTGTCGTTTGTGCCTTACGTGCAGAAGACGTTGATGTGCGGTTTCTAGAATTCGATGGAATTTGCTACCGGGGTTCTCAAAAAAACGAAGAGTTCAATTATTCCCAAACCGGAGACTACAAGTTTAAAGGCCAACAATACGATATGGTTTTTATTAACAAGCCAAGTTCCACAAACCATGCAGTAGATGCTCGTCAAAAGTGCGAGCTTATCTCGTCATTACGCAAAGCCTGCAAGGTTAAAGGATTGATAATTCTGTCTGTCCGTTCGATGCCCACGATATCTGGCGTATTTGACATCATAGAAATTCCCGATCAGAGCGCGATCGATGAAGAGGCTATACTAAGTTTTCGGAACACGCTTGGCGGAACACTAGATCGCGAAGATCCGCTCAATTGTGTCATTCTAGCCACCGTTTATGTCACCTATGACGGCGCAAACACGCGGTATCGACTGAATCCACCAGATCATCCAATATACTCAGAATTTTTCCCCAAACTATCGGACGAGAGTTATCATCTTATCTGCAAGCGAAATCAGTGGAGTGATATACTTTTGGCTCGGTCATACCTCACAGCGGCTTTCCAGCGAACCTCCACTAAGCATGTGCGACAGGCAGAGAACCCTCTACAATGCTACGCCGCTTTGAAAGTTGGTGCACCTTCGCCACTTCCAATCGGGTTGGAGAGAATCTTTCACCCTTCCAGCGCTGATAGCATACAAATTCTTCCACCATCTTTCTTCTCTCGCAATCCCCGTTTCCTTGAAATGGTGGAAGCACGCTACGATGAATTGTTGGATCTATGTGATATCAGTGAAATTGATGCTCCTCAAAAGATCATATCCCAGTTTTTGGGCAGTGGCTCTACCGCACTCTTGTACAATCTTTCTAAATTTCATTACATGCTGATCAAATCTGATGACGACGACGAGAGCAAAGACTACGATAGAGTGTTGCCGTTTGAAGCAATGGCAGTCTTATGCTCGGTATCATTCTTCTGCATCCTACGCATGTATCTATGCGCCTATAATGTGATTCTTAATACCTCTCTGAACGCCTGGGATCTCCAGGACTTGCTTTGGAGGCTGACAGCATTTGGAACATGGGAAGAGAAGCGGTGGTACATGGTGATGAAGTTCCAACAAATTTTCGAGCCTTCAGTATCAATAAACCCGGACGACAGTGAATAATTTTAAAGCAAAATGAATCAAGCAAAGGAAAAACTTTTACAAGATGTTTCCAGTATTTCCAGAATGCCTGGTAGATGATCGACATCAAAATTGCGAGACGCAAATGAAAAATGAACCAGGGAAAGCATATAAGCATATTAGCATAGCAATGGCAGGAAGCATATCGAAATGGAAGTTAAAGTTAATTTCCATAAAACCAAGGTTAATGCTTCGACTAATTGTAAAGATGTAGACTGTACTGCCAACAAGAGAACTAATACCTTGCTGGCATGTTCGATGAATCATTTGACCCGAAAGATATACTTTTTTCTCTTGTAAGAAGAACTTTATCTCGCAGAAACAGCAACGAGCCAAAATGAATGCTTTGACAGTCCCTGAACCCACGATTCTCCTCACAGAACCTTGTTCTGCAGTTTTGCATCTACTACAACAGGCATTGAAGTGAACATAGATGGCCATTCCAAATCCACCAGATCTTGCTTACCATTGCGACAATATCGCAGCCAAATTGACCAGGTGATATTATTGTACGCAGCTATTCCTGTCAAAATATGCCTGTATAAATTAGCTTTCTCTTCCCGGCCACTGAATTACTGAAGATTAAAAACTCACCACCATCCATGGCCCTCCAGGAAAATACCCCACGGTAAACCCACTTCTCTCCTCCACCTTCTAATCGTCCCACAATAAATGTTATCCAAATTCCATATGAAAAATGCGAGAGCTACATAAGTTAATCCTATAAAATTCAACTTCCACATCTGGCTCAAGATCTTGCTATCTCTCTCGTCTCTTCTTTTTTGCTCTACTTTAGTGGCCTTTTCGTCTTTAACGCGACGCTTTGGATTGAGTATATGCTCCATTATCCACATACTTCGGAATACCACAATGGCGGTGAGTAGTGCAAACATGTTTTGATGAAAGACTGGGTCTTGGAGATAATGATAGTATAGAGTAATAAATATCGCAAGCGCAGAAATCGAAAAAGCGAGAACGAAACGCGATAAAGGGGATTTCTGGTGCGCAAAAACGGAGTAGGCTAGGACGCACTCTAGATAAATCATGGCCAGTTCGTCCACGAGTTGCATAGGGTCTAGAGGTTGTTAACTTCTTCCGTTTGTAGTAGGAAGGAAAAGGAGGAATATCGACGAACAAATCAATGTAGAATGGAATAACACGCTTCCGACTCCAATAACCAGATAACTGAGGAAGGCAACAAGGAAGACGCGGTCATGACCATATCTAATACAGCTGGAAATTCCCTTCCAGGCCAAAATCACAAACATCAAATTGGTAATCGTATTCACAATCTCAGCCGAGTAGATTGTAGCATAGTAGTCCTAAACGGGATGTTAATAGTGAGTAGAGAGAATTAGAGAGAATGAATAGTCACGTGCTTCTTCGCACCAATTGATGGTTGAGGTTACGGGGCCCCAGTATCCTGGGCCGGAGGAAGGGTAGGGCGTTGATGGTAGCATGTTGACAATGCTTGTTTGGCGTTAAGAAGATGCCGCTGTGGTTCCCTGAGGATATAGATGGGTCTATAACTCAGAGATTCTAGAAAGATAGAAGTATTATAATAGTTCGATGGATTGAAAGATTAATAATATGGCATTATGAGAAACAAGATTTCTTTAAGTCCTTTCTCATCAAGAGTTCAATCTAGAATGCGGGCCAGAAAATAGATATTCACTTTGCAATCTACAACAGGTGGCCTTTCGACAAGTGAAAATTTAATCGTCGAGCATAAGATTATGTTGCGTCACGTGATAGTGTGCAGAACCAACAGTTGACTTTGCCGAACCTCGGATGAGAGGTTCCGTGCTTCATCACTTTTCACACTATGCAGGACATCTATCTTTTTCACTCCCCCCTTTTTCTACCGGACCTCGGGAATCAAAAAGTCTTTACCTCTCTCCAAATGCAGTTAAATTGTCCGATTTCTTTTGCAGTCTCATCTTTTCTATTGCTTCCATGAAGTCATTCTAGATGCGACAGTGTTTCAACCCCAGGATAATAGATGACAAGGTACAGAGATTGAAGTGTCCACTGAATGATCCACTTTCATCCGTGGAACCAGCTGCCATTGAATGTTTCGATATGTTTTAATTGGATCGCTCGTGGTGACGCGTGCTGCCCACAGTATCTTTAGATATGGAAATGATGAACGGCGACGACGATAAGGTGATACGCGCAATGGCTTTAAGGTCATTTGTTAAAAGGTCTAAGGGGCAGACAATACATAAATGGGAGCAAGAGATTGTTTTTAGCTTTCCCCGTTTGTATTTTGTATTTGGCGTGTTGAAGACTTCTGAGGCGTTGTGATATTTTCCATTGTTAGTCAAGATTTTTCGAGATATTGTCGATCAGTATAGTTGATACATAGATACTCAATTTCGGGCTCTACGCACAACAAGTCGGCAATATGCGCGATGAAGGAACAATTGCACTCATTCCTCATCCTAGTGATGATCCACGAGATCCATTGGTATATACACCCTCGCACTAGCTAACAATCATGATACTAACATATATTCACTAGAATTGGCCAATGAGGAAGAAAGTACCTATCGTCGCTGCCTTATGTGTCGCGACATTCGCCGGTTGTGCGGGTGGCCTTGCTGGTCAATTGATTCCAGCACCACAAGCAAAATTGTATGGGGTTGAGACCACAAAGATGGCTTATCAGGTACGTGAAGTTTTCTAGCAAGCACAAGGAAACTTCTAGATGGTTGGAATTCAATTGACAAAAACGGAATATATAGACATCATGTTCCAATGCTGGCATGATAGCAGGATCTTTGATCCTCTTTCCATTATCTCACAAATTTGGTCGTTCATCAGTAATTTTCTGGTCCACCGTTGGAGTGTTCATCACCCAGGTCTGGGCAGCATGCATGACACACTCCACACAGTATGCCCCATTCCTTGCTTCCAGAGTAATGGCTGGATTCTTTGGAACCATTGCTGGTATACTTGGTCCTCGTATACTTTTTGATCTCTTCTTCTTGCACCAGAGAGGCCGTGTCTTCACTTACTTTTATTGGGCTTTCGATTTCGGCACGGTGGCTGGTCCAACGTTGTCGGCATTCATATCAACAGCTGGGAAGGGATCATGGACTTATGCATTTTGGTGGACAGCAGCGCTGGCAGCTTTAGCAGCGATAATGGTATTTTTGTTCGTATATGAGACTTCCTGGGACCGATCGGAGGGGGCAGATAATTCATCGATCGCGACGCCTGATGGATTTATTGCGAGTAAATTTGCGACATTTTTCCCGGGAACGAAAGTCACAAAGCAGGCCAATTTGAAACAGGTCTTGGGGGTCGCAGCCAACCCATTTTTAATCATGGCTAATCCGTCGATGATATTACTGGCAATGTTTACTCTGATTAGTTTTGGTTTCTATGTTGCTATGAATGCAATCACTCCAGTTTGGTTACAGAAGGGCGTGAAAGAAGGAGGCTACGGATTCACCTCCAAGGAAAACGCTCTATGTATGTACCTCTCTACTTCCTAGATTTTTCTAATAAAAAGTTATCTAACAATCACCAGTTTCTCTTGGTCACTGGGCAGGAATAATAATAGCCTTGATCTACGGCCACTTTGTCAGTGATCGCCTCCCTCTCTGGATTTGTTCTCGAAATCGCGGCATCTGGAAGCCCGAATATCGGCTATACGCTCTGATTCTCCCCGCCTTGATTTTCAATCCAATCGGTCTTGGTGTCTTCGGCGCAACGCTCCAAAATCATTGGAGCTGGGGCGTCCTCATTTGGGCACAGATAATGGTGACATTCGGATCTTTATCCATCACCCCGATTACTGTGAACTATGCGTGTGAACTCTTCACGAGAGCTCCTGCTGAGACAGCTATTGTAATGAACAATTATAGAGTTGGATTTGGATTGTCGGTAACGTTTTATATTACGCCTTGGGTTGAGGAGTTAGGGTTTAGATGGACATATGGAATGATGGCACTCTTGCAAGTGGCGAGCTTTGGGTTCGTGGTGATACTAATGTGGAAGGGGCATGAGATAAGAGAGTGGAAAGTTGGAGATTTGAGTAGCGACGAGGAGGGCCAATATGTCATGGAGAAGGGAGAGAGTATAAGCGAGCGCAGTGTGGGTAGTGAACAGCAGTATGCTGAGGGTGAAAAAGGGAGTCATCAGGTCTGATTGTGTACAATAATTTATAATCAGAGTAACTAATAGTCCGGACTGCAGTCCAACAATATAAAGGTTTGAATATTCTAAAGTAAGTTAGAAAACTGAAAGTAACTCAATATTCCAATCTAACTCAATATCTCAGATAATTTAAACGTTGCGATTGGTCTAGGGATTTAATAATCTTTATTGTTGGACTGCAGTCCGGACTATGGGACACTCTGCGAGTCCTGAGTGCCGAAAAAGTTAACATTGTATTCCAATAAGACCAACATTCAGTTATAAAGTACAAATAAATCACAAAAGAAGAATAATCACAAAAAGAAGCACATAGGAACGCCAGAAGCACCTGATCGTGCAACATATTCATCATCAACCCAAATCCACAAAATCCCTCCACCCCCTAATCCATTCCCACCGATTTGGCAATCCCCACGATCTCTTTTGATTTGTGCTACTAGAACTCTCACTTTCACTCGTACTTTCCGAAAGACTCACACTTCCATCCACATCCTCCGCGATTTCTTCTACCTTCCCAGTCACAGCCACACACTGATCAACAGGGACTCTAATCCCCTTTGTCAACAGTGCCGTTCCCGCAGGCGACAACTCATCTCTTCCTCTCGACGCAGGAACACGTCCTACATACGCATTGAAATTATAATTTCCACACGCACATATCTCTGTTACATTTCTGGGACTCGTTTCCTGGACCACTATTTTTCCTTTCCTCCAGAGTCCGAAGATTTGGCTTCCGACTCCCATGGGCACGGTAAAGGCATTGACACCTTGCACTGCGTTGAATTGGAATGCGCCGCTTCCGGAGACTACGGTGACGTTGCCGGGAGATTTGAGGAAGGCGGTTACGAAGATACTGTCGGTTTCGGTTTCCCAGCCGTTGGGTTTGCCGTTGAAGTAATCGCCGGATGAGTTGGATGCAGAGAGCATAGTTGTATCGGTGGCGTCGCAGTTAAGAGAGAGAGGGTTGGGACGGTACCAGTAGACTATGAGGTCGCGTTTGATATATTTGGAAGGGGAGGTGGCGCCGGCGTGGAAAGCGCGGATGAATGGGGTAGCAAGGGTGAGCCATGCTCCATGAGGCCTGGATTTATTAGCTACACACTTCAAAGCGAACTTGATTGGGGTCGTTGAAAAATCTTACATATCGTTCGTCCATTTCGAATTTCCATCATCAGTATGTGGTGCAGATAGCGGTCCCACATAATGGCTTTCTCCTACTCCAAATCAGTATTTTAATCCTCCAGCCAACGCAAAGCAGCTTACCATAATCATTCCAACTAACAATTTCCACAAACCTCGCTCCCAACCCCAACAAATCCTGCCACCTCTGAACCCACTGTCCTTCCGCTGGAAATACCCAATTCTTACTATACGACACCTCGGGTCCATAATGCGTAAAGAACCACGGACTAACAGGCGCAATATAATCTCTCCCCGCCAACGCATTCATATAAGCCACATCACCATCACGGACTGTGAGATTCGAAGAAGACGATGGCGCTTTGTTCGCCCCATTATTGGGCCAACCCATCCAATTAAACGCTGCATCCAGCTCCTTAAAATTAGACGACCCAGGGCTAAAGTTCGGCGCGAAAAAAATAGGAACACCAGCTTTAGCACGCACATCTGCGACATTGAGAGCATCGCCTATGAATGTCGAAACAAAGACTTTATCATCCACAGACAATTGTGCAGTCTGATTAGCATATTTTGCTATTTTTTCCCCTACTGCTGATGAATCTGCCGGATCCCAGGAATTGAAATCAAAGGACAAAAAGACTTTCATGTGGTTTGTAGCTGCGGATGCATAGGCATAGTCGAGCTGTGTATCTGTGAATGCGTCGGCGCCGATATTCAGGGCAAATGCGTTGATTCCGGCGCGACGAGCGAGTTGCATATCTTTGTCATAGTCGGCGGAGCTGGCTCGGTTGCTTACAATGCCGACCTAGGGGTGTTGATTAGTTTTCGTTATTTCGCTAGAGAAGAGTGCATACCATGAAATGCGCGAAAACATAGCGACTGGGAGAAGTCTGATGGGTCGAATCCTTAGATGAGGGATCAGCAGTAATGAGTTGAATAGAGTTAAGTAGTGTGAGAAGCCATGGAATGGTCTTCAGAAAGAAAGTATTTGTCTGCATAGTGAGGTTCATTGACCGAGTTGCTGTACAAACTTGAGAGTGAGAAACTGGCACTATATACTGGAATGATGCACCAAGTTTACTTTGAAGGTTGCAGTTATTATATCCACATAATGAAATTTCATACTGATACATGGAGGGATATGAATTGTCGAAATCACGAACAAAGGAAAATCCACGTAGGGCCTAGTAACTCGCCATCCCTTTGATTTTAGAAGAGAAACGAGATTTTGATTTCTTTGTCTACTACAGATAGCCTATGATTCTTTCTGTTAGATTAATCAATCAAGCCCCGATCAAGCTAAACCTCATGAAACCACGCACTTTATTTTCGCTTTCCTCTAGCACACATATCATTTGAAGCTGCTAGGTCCTCCAAATGAATTGTGGTATACCCGTTGATTTAATCCTGAACATTGAACTTGCATTGTACTTTAACTTGCGATGCGCCTCCCACACTCGCTTTACTCATCGACAGCGAGCCTCAAGCCCTTTCAATTGATAGCCAGCAGAGTCATGTGTGAAAGCCAAAATCAAGTCTACTTCCTTGACAGGCTTAATTAAATAGATACCGCAAGGACAAGATTGATGCAATTGATGATACAGGTAGCACCTGTAAATATGTAAGCTAATGGTCTAGCATTGGCTGCTTATGAGAAGGCTTTGGTTGCTCAAGTATGTGTATGGGTAATTGTCGCAGATAAAGCAAGCAGAAACATTGTGAAGAAAAAAGGAAGGCAGTGGGGGTGCTTAAGACCCAGCTGTGGGAGCAATATAAATGGTAAATGATCGATCTAGCATTTGTAATTTTCTATCCGGTATCCAAGTCTTTATATCCATATAAATTCCGTATCATAAATACTTATATCCCAATCTTCTCGAATACAAATGCGAACTCCTTCTTTTCACACTTCACTTGAAACTCTTCCTTGACTCCCGGTCCACAAGCCGCCGATCCAACACCAGCAGACTCGGCGTCTAACCTCCACAATACTTCATTTTCTTTTACCAAGTCCCTTGGATGTCTCGCTTTTTGCAATGTAGTAGGAGAATATCTTGTAGCTGCCCATTGAAACATTGTGGGTCCAGATGAACTTGCTCTAATTCCCACTCCAGAGGAATCTGTCATGTTTACCCATCTAGTCTTCATACGGTTACCATTCTCTTGCGGTACATCGTAAGGAGTATGTAACGCATCCACATCAGCGGAATATATACCGAGCTTCTGTGAAGAGCATTTATCTGCGTAGGATTCTCCTGGTCCAATCCCAAACCATTCTGCATTATCGAGATCATCGCGGAGTTTAATGTCCAAGCCAACTCTAGGCAGGTTTAATGGCATTGATCCAGTAGGTTTGAGGTTGACTTTGATTTTCAAAGAGCCAGTTGCTGAGACCTGATATGTGGTAGTAGCCTCGAAGCCCCAGTTCAATATTGGAGGTGAAACGAATGTTACAGCGGTGAGGGTAACTAAATCGCCATCGGTCTTCACATCGAAAGATCGAAGCTGCGACGTCAATGCATCCAACCCATATCGTTTATAGTAAGGAAAGTCAGAAGGCATATCATTGTCTGTCGGTGCTCTCCAGAAGCCCGGTATAATTGATGAGATTAGTATCTCGGTTGACTTCAAGGTTGTTGGACTGGTAAAATTCCATTGAGACAAACTACCCCGAGCTGCATCAAATGCAAATAGGAAGTTTGAGCCTGTAATTCTGTACTCCGTCCCAGATGAGACAACGTTGAGATGAGAAGTGTTTGTAGGGGAAACTCGGGAGATCGAATCTGCATTAGGCTTCGAGATCTGCTCTTGCATCCATGCAAGCTCATGACCAGCATCAGCCCAAGCAGTCGAAAACTTTTGTTGAAAGGTGACTGTAATCCATAGCTCGCCCGATCCATTTCTAGAAGGAGCAGACGGTAGCTCTATCGAAGAGGACTTTCCTGGGAGGATATTTGGGAGTGCCAAATCACCAGATTTTACAATCTTCCGGCTTCGAAAAGTTAGCAAATCTGATTTTCTAAGTGTGATAAATGTCTACAAACCTTTTTTCGAACAACTCAATCTTGTAAGAAGCGACGACATGATCAAGTCCTATGAAATCATAACCATTGGCGATCATGATTTTACCCTCTTGAACCCAAGCACGAATTGGAGCGATGGCCTTTTTGAGTTCTGTTAAACCAGGCGTAGGCGTGTGATCACTGTAGCACAAGCCATCCATGACAAAGGTATCATCATTCGGGACATCACCAAAATCGCCTCCGTAGGCATAAAAGCCCTCTTTTCCTGGCTCTGTCTTCCACAGTCCGTGATTTGCCCATTCCCAAATCCAACCCCCTTGGAGTCTTTCGTAATCTCTGAATGCAGCCTGATAATCTTCTAGACCTCCGGGTCCATTTCCCATGGCATGACCATATTCGCAAAGCACAATAGGCTTATCATAGGAGCCATCAGAAACACCAGTAGTCTCCGCGTGCTTGACAAGAACATCGATGGGTGGATACATGTAAGAAAACATGTCTGCAGACTTTGCATCGGCATCACCTTCATAATGGACCAGTCGGCTAGGGTCCACCCCCTTTGCGTAGTCATACATTGCCTTGTGATTTTTCCCATAGAATGCTTCATTTCCTAAAGACCACAAGATAATGGAAGGATGATTCTTATCTCGATTCACAAGCTGGGTCATTCGGTCGATGTATGCGTCGCGCCAGGTTTCGTTATCGGAGGTGAATTTGGCGGCTTGTGGAAAGGTCAGTTTCTTACGTTCTTCGTAAGGTATTGATTCTGGAATATTGGCGGGATATGCTACAGCATCATAAAATCCGTGACACTCTAAATCTGCTTCGTCCATCACCCATAGACCAAGCTCATCACAAAGATCATATATACCCGGGTGTGATGGGTAATGCGAGCAGCGCAGTGCATTGATATTATGTTGCTTCATCAACAGTAAATCCTGTTTGATAAAGGATAATGGCACAGCACGTCCGAGATGTGGATGATGGTCATGACGATTTGCGCCATTAAAGAGAATGGCTTTGCCATTGACTGTTATAAGACCATTTTTGAGCTCGACGCAACGGAAACCGACGTTTTGGTAAATGGTCTGAGTAATCTTGTTGTTCACATGAACTGAAATCTCAAGCTGATATAAATAGGGTGTCTCGGCAGTCCATTTCTGAGGTTGTGATACCGACAAGCTCAATGAGAGCTTCTTCGCGTCAGACTCAAAAGATTTAGAACCACTCGATATTACTTCATCGCCATTAGAACTATCACGTAGCGTCAATTTTACCTCTCCAGAAGATGGAGCAACTAAATCCAAGGCAACTTCCAGAGTCGCGTCATTATATTTTTCATCAAGCTTAGGTGTAACGAAATAGTCGTCGATTCGACCCGTTGTAGGAAATGATAAAAGATTCACATCTCTGAATATACCTGGAATAAATTTTTAGTCTACACTCCTCAATTGTAATGCCTCTCCCACAGAATACAGACTTACCAGAAAGCCACCATTGATCTTGATCCTCGATATATGACCCATCACACCATTGGTATACGCGAACCCAGACTTCGTTTGCGCTTCCCCGGTTCACAAATGTCGAAACATCAAATTCCGCCGCATTTCTGGATCCTTGAGAATACCCAACGAATTGGCCATTGACCCAGACGTGGAACGCGCTATCTACACCATCAAATCTCAATCGCAATTGGGAAGACTCATCCCAAGACTTTGGAACGTGAAACGACCTGCGATGAGTTCCTGTAGGGTTTTCGGTCGGGACATGTGGAGGACAGACGGGAAACGGGAATATTGTATTCGTATATTGAGGTCGACCATGCCCTTGAAGTTGCCAATGCCCCGGAACTGTTATATTTCCCCATTCTACCTCATCATCTGGTATAGTCTCGATTTGTTTGTCTGCGGTCGGTGGCACATTTACATATCCTTCCTTAGTGCCAAATTCTGAGGTTGGTGTATTTGATTGAGCTGGAAGTGGTGCATGTTTGGGCGTTGGGGCATAATGAAAGTCCCATGTGCCATTCAGGAGGAGAGAGGAAGGTGGGATATAGTATGATCTCGCTGGAAGTCGATTTCGTTGGAAGATCTTCTCGTCGCAGATATCCAGGTCGGAAGCCATGATGGTATTGTAGCTGTGAAGGATGCCAAAAGCCTTGAGGACTGAATGAATATGTGAGAGAAAGAATGTATTGGTCTGTCTATGGCATATATTATACTACAATGGCATTGATATCAAGGCTATCGTGACTTAGTGTCTATCTTCGCCTAGAGTTGGCATCGAGTGCACCACTCTTGAGCGTGCCAGGAAACCCCCTCATTGCATTGAGAACACAGCAATGCGTAGATTGACAGGTGACGGATGTCGGCCTCGGGGAAACATGTTCCGAAAGATCCAATTGAACAAATAATCTCACGATGGAGTAGGAGTTACATTAGTTTGGTACCTTTATTGGTTTTCGTGATTTTGGTTGGATGAAATGAGGGCGATGAGGGGTAGATTGAGTGAAGTTTGGGGAAATATTAGTTCGGGGAACGCGGAGCCGAAACCCCTGTCGTTAAAACCACCACAAACACGAGACCATACCAATAATTTAATTTGGCGCACCAACCCACTCTCACCGCGAATTCTAGCTTACATCTCCACTCGAAATCTTGATTCAGGTTGAACCGTTATTGGTCCTTCGATTACTCGCCGCAAAGTTCCCCTGTTTCCCCATGTTATGAATCTGGGGTATCTTCCAGAGCTTCGAGCTTCATGTGGTTGACAACGTCGGGATGTAGGCCAAAAATGGACTACATGCACGATTCGATGGGATGAGAGATCAGGTACGACGGGAAAGCAGTCAAATGAAGCCCATGATGGTAAACTTCATAGAGAAAGATGACAGACCTTGGGACTATATATTACGCCCTTGAGCTGCTGGTGAAAGGAGGAAGAGATGAACTATACTGTCGTCTGTTGTTCTTGTTAATTACCATCTATCCCTTTAATTCTTGATATTGCCTACTGGTTCTCAATAGCAATGGCCGAAAAGCACTTGCAGGATGTTGAACTTCACGAAACAAAGTCTGAGGGTGTAGTTGGTGAGGCAGTTCAACTTGCTCACGATGTCGACGAAACGAAGCCCCGTCCATTCACCTTGAGCATGTTTCGTCTTTATGGTTGTTTGATGGTCGCATATCTATGCGGGTGTTTGAACGGATTCGATGGTTCTTTAATGGGCGGTCTTAATGCTATGAAGACTTATCAAACCTACTTCCACATGTAAGTAATTATCTATTCGCTTCACTCCATTTCACTGGGATCGTTTCAACTACAGAGAATCATGTACAGTCTGGCTATTCAGGAAATATCCTTCTGTCCCCCAATGGGTGCACGGATTAACAGGACAGTGCAAAAATGGACTTCTGAATATCTCTTGATAGATCAAATCATTCATTCTGGGAATTTTTACAATCATTGATTAGAGATGGAACCATCAAAGTGTGAATTTTGATATCAAACAATTGAAGAATGAATTCACTGAAAATATCGAATGTTGGGAAGTGTCCCGTTAGTCTATGCACCCACTGGTGGTCTTCCAAAGATCTCTTGTCATCGAAATAGAGTATCGTTATACTAACTGGCCTAAAGGAGCGCTGCAGGGTCTTCGACTGGCCTTGTTTTTGCCATGTACAACATAGGCTCAATTCCTGCGGTCTTCTTCACCGGCCCTGTCAACGATCATTTTGGCAGGCGAATGGGCATGTTTACTGGGGCAGTCTTGGTTATCATCGGTACATGTGTTCAAGCGCCTTCAACAAATCATGGCATGTTTTTAGCTGGTCGATTTATTCTTGGGTTTGGAGTCAGCTTTTGCTGCGTTAGTGCTCCTTGCTATGTGAGCGAGATGGCTGTAAGTTCAAACATGAAAGGATTATAGCAGTGACTGACTCGTTTAGCATCCTGCTTGGAGAGGAACTCTCACTGGACTGTAAAATACTACTTGGTACGTTATGTTGTCATTCCTTGAAAATTAGCAACCACTGATCAATAATCAGGTACATCGGATCAATTGTTGCATCTTGGGTTGTGTATGGTTGTAGGATAATCGATGGCAACGCTAGTTGGAGAATACCAATTTGGTGCCAGTTGATTTCCTCTGGCTTTGTAGCAATTGGCGTTTGGTGGTTACCCGAATCTCCTCGCTGGTTGATGGCACAAGACAATGCAGATGAGGCTGTTAAGGTCTTGGCAAGGTATCATGGAGAAGGTTCGATCGATCACCCAATGGTGACTCTGCAGCTCAAGGAGATGCAACAGCAAATTGGCCTTAATGATTCTGACAAAAGATGGTGGGATTATTCTGAGCTTGTGAAAACTCATTCTGCTCGCCGCCGTCTTATTTGCGTACTCGGGATGGCATGCTTCGGTCAATTGAGCGGAAATTCCGTTACCAGTTACTACTTACCCGAGATGTTACTCAATGCTGGAATTGTATCTGAAGAAAGACAGCTTTTGATGAACGGCATATACTCTCCTATCTGCTTTATTGGAGCCATTGCTGGAGCCAGATATACAGATAATTGGGGTCGTCGACCACTTTTACTCTACTCCATCTTGTTTTGCTCGGTCTGCTTTGCAATCATTACTGGAACATCTAAATTGGCTACCCAGGACACAACCAACGTCACTGCTGCAAACACAGTTATCGCATTCATCTACATCTTTGGATTTGTCTTTTCCTTTGGATGGACCGCTTTACAAAGCATGTACATTGCAGAGACGCTTCCAACTTCAACCAGAGCCAAGGGTACAGCCATCGGCAATTTCTCCTCATCGGTCGCAAGTACAATCATTCAATACAGCTCGGGACCAGCATTCGAAAATATTCACTACTACTTTTATCTCGTATTCGTCTTCTGGGATTTGGTTGAAGCGGCGATCATTTACTTCTACTTCCCAGAAACTAAGGACAGAACATTGGAGGAATTGGCTGAAGTGTTTGAGGCTCCAAATCCAGTTCAAAGGAGTTTGGAAAAGAGAAACGCAACTACTGTTCTCAGGACACTCAGAGTTGATACGACGATTGCGAAAGGCGAAGTTTAAAGCAATTTATGTTATATCTGTCTATTTGGAAAGGATGTGGGACTTGTGAATTCATGGTGTTTGAGTTATTTTAATTTTAGTATGAATTATGATCTAATTTCTGACATTGAATTTCACGCCAGCAGGCAGTGAGTGCATATAAGAAATACCATCATATCCAAACTTGTAAAATGTCTACTCCGTACAATTCTTTTCGATTTCTACCTTCAAGATTACAGGGACAAATTATCCTGCCCGTCTCTGATATCTAATGCCTGATGCATGCATACACGACCGCTAACCCACCATTTACCACCCCACATGACCCCAACATTTAATCCCAACCGCATATTCATTTTCCCACACTCCACATAATTACAAAGGCTTTTTACGCCGGCCAACCATTCGAGCCATTCTTCGAGATAGAAGGAAACATCCGTGCCAATCATCAAAAAAATGGATACGCATCCACCAAGCAAGCGTCTTCATATCTTGTAATTTAAATCCCAAAAGTCTTATGCCGAATCCCCCGAATATCTTTATCGAAAGTCGAGAGCATCTAGTATCCCCTGCGAGCGTTGTGATGTCGGCCGTAGATCCTGCCCCACGGACAAGACGACGGGCAGCTCATGCAGTAAGAACCTCGGTCAATATTCATGTGAGAAGTTGTTGACCACTCATACAGTGCGATGTCTGCCGATTGAGGAAAATCAGGTGATTATCATTCGTTCAAGGGAGTCTCACATACTGAATAGTGGTATCGTAGATGCGATGGGCACAATCCATGTGCTACATGCATAGCGACGGATCAGGATTGCTCGTATGGAATTGAAGTGAATCCGTAAGTCTTCGTTTCACTCTTGGGTTATACCTTTTTAACACGATCAAATTCTAGTCGAGGCAAGAATGACTCGATTTTGGAGGGCGTCCTCCGCATCGAGAGATACTTACAGGATATGAATGCAATGATGGTACACAATCCTTCGCTATGTCAGTGCAAGCGAAATTCTATTGCTTATTCGTCTCTAGGCTGCTTCGCCTGCTTTTATGAATCATCATGTCGCCAATGATCACAATTCAGGCTCGCCTCGAACGGCGTACTCAGGAGGAGCAACCATTTCATCGCCAGTACCACAACAGATAACTAGACCTCGTCATCTATCTTTTCATGATGAACAAAGTGTCCACAATGCCGTTTTATCTTCTTTTCATACTTCGGCTACCGAGTCCATTCTTTCATGGCAGCTATTCGATGTGTTCCCTTCCATCAGACAAAATTACACCTCCATCTTTCATTTGGAACAAGCAATTATGCCAATTGCTAGCAGGTCGTCTACCATGCATCCATATGTCGGAAGTCCAGAGCTGGATCGCATCATGGAGTCATTTCAAGCAAATATAAATTTTTGGTATCCTGCGTTGTCAAATAACAAAAGAAATCAACTCCGAGATTGTGTTCTGTTACGAAAATTGGAGCAACCTACAACTTTATCTGTTTTGGCTCTATTGATGATGGCACTGGGATGCGCAAGTCAATCAATCATAGATATTGCTGTTCCGAGGGATCTGACATCGGACGAACATGAGTACTACAAGGGACGTAAATTAATGGCAGATATCTGTTTCGATGAAGTTCTGAAGAGACTTTACATTCCTCATACTGAAATGAGTTCAACTGCCGTTCAGTGTCTTTTCTACACCGCGTAAGTATCCGTATCTTCGGGTTTGAACACGTTTAACTGTATATTGCAGGGTATACTTTGCATTTTCTCAGCGACCACTTCAAGCATGGGAATACATTAACGCAACCGCTGCAAAATGTCGACTGCTCTTATCTTACCACTCACCTGGAGAATCGGCCGAAGATGTCGAATGTTTAAGGCGCATCTTCTGGTCATGCTATATTCTTGAGAGGTTAGTCTAAGATGTTGGTGCGAAATTATTTTAAGTTAACACATACAAGTGACTACCTTGCGGAGTTATCTGGTCTTCCTGAGTCTGGTCTTGCATCAATTGAATCAACTATACCTCTTCCAGGTAGTTACGATACACATGACTCACAAGTAGATGAAGAACATTCATCACTCTATTTCCTAGCATGTATTTCGATGCGTCGACTATTAAATCGCGTTCACAACCTTCTCTATGCCAAAGAAACCGGAGCAAGTCTTGACGACGCACGATTCCCGTTCATTGTGGAAGAACTAGACCATCAACTCGAAGAATGGAGGGACTTCTTACCCCCAGCTTTACAATTCGTCGCCGATACACAACCTGCTCAAGGTCAACACGCAGGTTTCCTGAGACAGAGATATTTGACATGTAGAAGTGTTATTTATCGACCCTACTTGACTTGGGTTCTTACAAATCATTCTCAAGACACAAACGTCGCACAAAACGTACTGGAAAAGTGTCGAAATTGTTTAGACGCCTGTTTACTTCACATAATTAATTTACGAGGATTTGCGCATACGGTCATGATGGATACTTGGATATGTTCTTTGTCGTATTTCTCCCCCCTCTTCTCCATATAACGAATCCCATCTCATCTATCCTATTTCTAATACCATTACACATTCAATCACATTACTAACATCCATCCAGAATGACAGGCGCAATGCTTGTACTCCTCGCCGCTTCCCGTCTTCCATATCTCCGTAATCTTCTCGGCCAAGACGTCACAAACATTGGATCACATCTTCAAACATTAATCAAAAGGTGGGTTCAGATACCAGGGGAAAGCAGATCTCCCAGTATTGAACAGAGTCTGAGGATGATTGGGGAAATTGATGTATTTCTTCATCAGGAGTTTGGAACAGAGAAAAAAGATTAGTTAGGGTGTGTGGAGTGTTACATCCGCAGTTTTCTGATGGGTTGTACCACGTGGTGCTAACTGATGTATCTACGATTCTACTTCATATTCTGCGATTTGATGAACGGGAGTTGAGTGAGATTTCGAAGTCATGTTCTGCGAAATAACAGATGCGCTGGGGCGTTTGTTGTCAAAGGTAGTAGTAAGTCGGGTACCCTACTTTCAGACCACCCCCCTTTTGGGCCACTTTTCAACCACTTTTTATATCAAAAATGGAATTTCTAACTTTCTTATTTATGAATAGAATTTATTGAAAATTTATATATATATAATTCAGATCGTTTTGAACTTATTCTGGAATTTTCAGATTTTTAGGATTTTTCTGTATCGAGATCTAAAGTTTCAAAATATCGATTTTTTGATTTATATGGGAATCATATACAAATTTGAAAATTTTATAAAATCTTTAATAACTTTTTGATAAAAATTGTTAAAAATAAACTATAAAGTTTTATCATAAATTTATAATATACTTTATCTAACAGATTCAGAAAAAATAAAAAATCTCTTATAAATAAATATTTATAGGGATACTCTCAAAATAACAGGGATTATTTATATTATTCTAAATTCACTGTATACTATATCTCTATATTTGCTAATTTTTTCGAATTTTTTTTTGAATTTCTATATAGATTCAAGTTTAAATATCTCAAAAATATATATAGTTTTCTTTTAATTAATATTGTTAAAAAGTTATTAAAGATTTAATAAAAAATTTAAATTTGTATGTGATTCCTATACAAATTTGAAAATCGATATTTTGAAGTTCTAATTTTCAATACAGAAAAATCCTAAAAATCTGAAAATTTTAGAATAAATTTAAATCGATCTAAATTATATATATACAAATTTTCATTGAATCAAATCGAATATTAATAGAGATATTAATAGGCCTAAAAAGTGATTTTTGGTGTAAAAGGGTGGCCCAAAACCCTGTTGGCCCGAAAGTAGGGTACCCGACTTATCAAATTACCCACTAAAAGAAAAAGGAAATATTTCGTGACATATAATACACGATTGTTATATAAAAAAGCATCATCGATCCATCAAAATGATTCAGATTCCTCATTTTTAACTCAAGAAATTTATAAATGTCTTTAAAGTACACACAAAATGTCTCGAAGTGCCCTCTTCACATCTCAAGTTGGTGTTGATGAACCCCTGTAATGACCCACAGATCCTCCGACTATCGTTATCATGCTCGTGACATCGATTGTCACAAGAATCACAATCCTGATTCAGAAAGCTTCCTTCCGACTATACTAATACATTGCGATAGATTTCAGTCAGACGAGTCGTTGCGACAGCGTTTCTTCATTTTCTTAATGCGTACTGTTCTCTGTCGAAATTGATCTTGGCGGGCCAGATTCCTTGCTGGATTTCCTGATAACAAAAGGAAATAATAAAGGACGGTTGAGATGTCGACAGAAGATACACCCTTACTGTATTATAATTCCCCTTTCTCATGATCTCAACATTGGTTACATATGTCCTCAAGCGCATCACTAATCTCTACATAGCTCAGATGAGGTCTCCGATAACCTCAATCATACCAAATCCAACGATGATACGATCACAACTTCACCGACCTCAGCTGCTGCTTTTCCTGAGAACACAGCCTTCGCAAAAAGGCTGGTCAGGAAAATAGATCTAAGACTCATGCCATTGATGTTCATAACGTTTAATTTTAATTATATCGACAAAAGCATTTTGAGCACTGCCGCTGTGTTTGGGTTGGTTGGAGATACGGTATGTATGTTTCGTTTGTGAATAGGGAGATTCGGAATTTCCTGATTTTGGAAGAATTCTGACTAGAAGGATCGCGAGATGCGGATTCCAGTCCTTACTAACACTGACCAAGCATCTAGTGGACGGACAATTTAGTTCCATCTCCAGTGTCTTCTATTTCGGGTATCTTTTATGGGAATACCCTGGCGTCTATCTGATCCAAACCCTTCCCGTAGCAAAATACATTGCAGCGGATATTGTGATCTGGGGAATCATCGTTGCGAGTACTGCTTCCTGTACCTCTTATCAGGGATTAATGGTAGCGAGGTTATTCACGGGGATGGTAGAATCAAGCATTAGTCCGGCGTTTCTGTATGTTACGAGTATGTGGTATACGAGAGATGAGATGCCTAGTCGCATGGGGCTGTGGTAAGTGATCTGTGAACAAAATGTGTAAATTTCCATGATGAGGTGGCTGATATTGTTCTAGGTATGCGGGGAATTCTTTTGGGGGTGCCGTTGCTAGTTTGCTCTCTTTTGGGATCGGACAGATTCATTCTTCATTGAAACCTTGGAAGTTGTTATATATCGTAAGTGTTATCCGAATGAAGCGATTAAAAATCATCTTTAACAGATCGTAAGATATTTGGATCAGCGACTGCTTTGTGGGGCTTCGTTGTCCTGATTTTTTTACCAGATACTATCTCCAGAGCCAAGTTTCTCACCCTGGAAGAGAAGAAATGTGCAGAAGAGAGAGTGCGTGTAGCAGGGACTGGAATTACCATGTCTATCAAAAATGAATGGAAAGGCGAACAAGCAATCGAGTGTCTGCTTGATCCAAAAACTTGGTTTTGCGTTTTCATTTCCCTGTTCACCATGGTATGTTAATAGTCTTCCATTTCCGAAAACAGAACTAACCGAGCCCCAGATCCCGAATGGAGGAACAACCAGTTTCGCAAACATCCTAATAACAAGCTTCGGATTTACTGGTCTCCAATCAACTCTCATCTCCCTCCCATCCTCTCTAATATCCTTTCTCACCATCGTAACATCCGGTTATCTCGCGTCCCGCTATCGCAACACCACGACTCTCCTTCTCTCTACTCTTCTTTTACCCCCTATTATAGGTGCAAGCCTCATGAACTGGGCTCCTCTCAATTCGCTAAAATTAACAGGTTTCTACCTAATTGGATTTTCTCACGCGACTATTCCTTTAACAATGAGTCTTATAGGAGCGAATACAAGAGGGACGACGAAGAAAATGACAATGAGTGCTTGTATGTTTGTGGCGTATTGTGTGGGGAATATGTTGGGTCCGCATATTTTTGGTGGTAAGGAGAGAGATATGGGGTTTGGGAGAGGGTTTACGGTCTGTTTAGGATGTTACTTCCTGTCTGCGGCAATGGGGGTAGGACTGAGGGGGTATCTAAAGAGGATTAACGCAAGGAGGGACAGAGAGGAATGGGGTTTGGAGCCCGAGGGCGCGGGCGAGGGTGAGGGAACAGAAGGAGAAATGGACATGGGCGTAGATCTCACAGATTTCCAAACTCGAGGGTTTAGATATAGATTATAGTCTTTTGAAAGTGATCGACCCGTATTGGTTCTATTTTTCACTTTCCGACGACCTAGACATTCAGACACCCAATTTAACGAAAGGCATCAATGTATCTCCACACCCACAAACCAAAGTATGTAGACAACCGCGATCTTTATCCGAACCAATACCAAATAGCGTGCATGTCAGCACTAATGCATGTGTTACATGTGTTGATTCGAATACGATATGCAACAAATCCGCGATGTGTCTTTCAAATCGTTTTGCCACTCTTGTGAGGGGGTCTCACGTGATGTGATTTGTTGGTTTGGTTTGGTGCCGCGGAGAAGCGGGGTTGTGGAGCGGGGATGGAAATTGTAGGGTTGATTGATGGGTTTGATGGGTTTGATGGATGTTTGAGATGTAGAGGCGTAGAGGCGTAGAGAAAATGTGATTGGGGAAGTTACTTAGTGCGATCTTGCTGTTGATTGGGGTGGTTGATAGGGAACGTGGTGGTTGGAGCTCGAAAACTGGTGACCCTATATACCTTTGTTTCTTTAGGTTTTTCTTTTCTTGTCGTTTCGATGTATACGCGTGGGATGTCCTCGTCACCATAAGATAAAGTTCTCATTTTCTCTAGTTCGGGTTTGTCTAAAATTATTTATTTACAGCGATGTTTTGAACACTCCTCTCTTACATATCAATGCGAGGGTCTCAGGAGATGCTCTCCTCGCAAACAATGATTTAAACTCGCTCCCGCTACTCCCTAATGACAAGGCCATCGTTAGATCCGCATATGTGGGTTTGTTTCCTATCAAGAATTATTGGTCTGCTAAAGGTGTGTTCAGAATGCTTGTTAGGACTTTGATTTCGTTAATGGAGCGATCGAGGGTGTTGAATGGAATTGCTTTCTCGTGGTTGGAGTGGGCGAATTGCTTGATGTTTGGATGGGGTGTTGGTTGGTTATGATTGTGAGAGTGAATATTCATTATTCAAGATTTTTTGGTTTGGTTTGATGATTTCTGGGCCTTTGCAATTCTTATTTCAGCACAAGCTCTTGAGTGAGCATGATGGTTATATCTTACCAGTCATCTGGGTTGATGGCTTAAAATGTAGGTTCCTTCACTATCTTGTTATCGACAATTTCGAGCTTATAGGAATACTAAGCTCATCGCATGGAAGATTGATCATCCAGGAGTTTTGTCAATCGGCGTGGCAGTCAGTTTTAATTTGGATTGTCATTTTGAATGGAATCTTTTTGGAGGTAACATAATGGTAAGAGGAAATGTGCTCGGAATGCAGATGAGAGCTTCACCCACAACTCGGCCAAGATATACCCTATCATTCATATTATTGTCTTTTTATGCCACCTCTCAGCTCCAACAGTTGGTGGCGTTTGCAATGTCTCAATCACACTCGTCAGATCGACTTTCGGGACAGCTTGACCTCAGTCCTCATTCGCGTTCAAGACACAAGAACTTATTGCTCATATCTAACAGTTGGATGATTGTTTCTTGGCACCAATTTATCTGAAATTCAATTCATAATCACTGGCGTGAATCATCGTTCCGTCTGTTCCAGACTCCACCGAGGTCGGTTACATGGACAACAAAGTATTGTCAAAAGTCTCAACATTGATTCATGTACGGTAATTGAATTAGAGGTGAAAGAGGCACAGTAAACTAGGACGAAGCTACCCCTTAAGCAGGAAAAAGCGCTACTTGGCAACCATTACCATTTTTCACCACCAGCTTCACATCTTCGGTCCATGGCCTATCATCACGACTTTCTATGTGCTGAAACTGAGCTGCCATTCTGGCAATAATGTACGAGGCCTCTCCTAGAGCTTTGTGTCGACCAGCACAGCTACGCGGACCGTGGCTGAATGGCATGAATTCCCAATTACTTGGAGAGATGTGATTCCATCGGTCGGGATTGAATATCTCAATGTCATCCCCAAACACCGATTTTTCTCGGTGAAGTGTGTAAAAGTTTGTGCTGACTTTCCTACCTGCTGGGATGAATATTGATGCTGTACCATCGGAACCCCCGCCAGTTGGAAGTGTTGTGTCGACAAGAGCTATACGGCTGTTTGCGTGAAACAGAGGATAGATGCGTAAAGCTGTATTAATTAATTTCTTTCTGACAAAAAGCGTAAGATCCATAGATCAGAGTAAACTTACATTCTTTTATACAATTATGAAGAAGTTTTAAGTTCTTCAAATCTGTTGGATTCCAAACTTCGACTGGACCTAAAGCACAAATTTCCTTTCGTAGGCGTGCCCAAACTTCGGGAGATCTCGAAAGCAGGAATATCGTATTGCTCAAAACTATGCCCGTTGTATCCTGGGTTACTAGCATACCTTGAAGAATTTGCGAGCGAATTTCGTCCAAGTTCTTTCCTCGTAACACTAAATTCTCAAGAAGACTTGAAGCATGGTCTTCTGACTTTAAGCTGTACACTTTTTCTAGTGCTTTGGCAATATGATGGTTCACGAATAAATGCACTACTCTGCATGACTCTTTCCACTTGTTACTGAGGAGAGATACACTGCGTCCAAACTTTCCAAATGCTAATCGTATACCCATCCAACTTTGTGCAGTATCAAATGCTTTCTCGAAGGTGTCCATATCCACCGGCGAGTCCCCTGAATACAATGCTGCTATGCGCTTACCGAACAGGAATTGAAGTGATATATCCAGGAACTATAGTCAATTAGACATTATGCACTTGATCTTGGGCTGCAACTCACCAATTCATTGAAGATTGGTGCCAAATCAACAGTCTGTCCATTTAACGGCAAGTGTTGTATGTACTGTTCGTAAGCGTCGCCGAGGAATTTCAAATTTACAGTATTGGCTTCTGTCAAGGTTGAAACAAACAAACTTCGATGAACTCTCCATTCTTCGCCATCTCTAGTAACAAATCCTCTTCCGCAGAAAGGCTCCATAGCATCAGCTCTACCTGTACCCCATTCTTTCCAGTTTGTTCCATAGATTGCCTTTAGGTTGTCTGGATGGGCTGTATAGATCGTGGTTCTTCCGAGACGTAAAGCTTGGAATGTCTTGCCGTAGATATCATGTTGCTTTGCGTGGGTTTCTAAGATGGTATGCTGTTTTCGTATCTCGAGAGATTTCTTGAACAGATCCAAACCAAGAAAAGGATCAATCGTGGGTAAGCTTGGAGCCTGTTGACATTCTGCAGGTGTGTTTCTTCCGAGTTTCCATCTTTTGTAGAGCTGATAGCAAAAAATAACTGAGAATAATGACAGCAGGTTGATGAGTAAATAGGCCATAACTAATAGTGCTCACTGCCCTTCTTATTTGAGAAGTGATTCTTTCCTGTGTTGGAAGAGATCTGAATAGCTCGCAATTCTCATAAGTTCAAGGCATTTTATTTGTGTAACTACATATTTATAAATTTTAACAAACGGAAACGGATAGCAAAGTGATAGAACATCCGCCGTCTTCATGTGTTTGAGATGTCGTCTATTGGCTCTCCCAAGGTCGTCTTAACATGGATCAGAAAGGGGTAGCTCCGATTGGCACGTTATTCACTACCACGACGGGTGGGACAATGCGCAACATCTTTCCAACAAGTGATTGGGTTACATTCTCTCAAGCTACATAATCAAATGTCTTGGCCGCCAAATGCCGAACTAGCTCAACATTCGATCCCGCTCTCTCATCCAAAATGATGCCATTGAAAAAGGAATTATAACAACACAGCCTCTAAAAGCCACTTTCCAATCCACCTCCTTATCGCTCAACTCCACAAACAGCCTCCGATGCGTCAAACAACTCCTAACTATTCTAGTCGCCTTGGTAGGCGGCGACAGAAAGCCCGTTCGCATCAATAGCGTTGTCAGGCCATCTCACGAATTCATCGCCATCTAATTGAATTCAGCAAAGTATGCTGCATAGTTCAAAGTTATTTTCACAAACCTTTTGATCTAATCGTAGGGGGGTCTATCATGATTGTTAGCGGGGTAGCGTGTCAGTAAGGTGTTTTGTCTCTTACCAGGATGGCTGAGAGGGGCAGCAATGGCCATAAATCCAAAGCTTAAGGTTATGAGTTGGTAAAGACTGACGCGCATTTTCTTTTGATGATGTTTGGTTCGATTGAGTTTTTTATTGTATTAGATATCTGGGAAAAGACAAATAAGTAGGTAGGTTCAGTCGATCATTTTATAGTTCAGTTAAGTGATTTTAGGAGTTCATCTTTTTCTCCATTTCTTAATCGATACCTCCGAAAAGATCCAAAATATTGGATCATGACAAGGAGCAAAAAGCTTCGCCTTCCACATACATAAGTACCGAATACCATTTCCAATGTTCTGCCCTACGAGGTTGCTTGTACTATTGGTTGAGAGGAGAATTTCCCAGCTGGTTTCATCGTTTCCCCTATATGAAAAAAGCCTTATCGGTTTCCCCATCATCTTTATCTCAATCTGGTTGCACAAATGTCGGACATTAATGCTTCCCGCAGCAAATCTCGACGGTTTCGCATTTAACCGGTGACCAAAAGCAGGCCGGTATCAATTTTATTGGATATTATCGTTTTCAGCTGCTTGCGCGTTAGTTCTTGGTTAAACGAGGATAACCCAATATCAATATTCTACCCATCGTCTGCGAGGATGTCATCGGGTGTTGGGTCCTCGAAATTACTATTCTTGGCTATGTTGGCAATGCATTGAGGCCTATTGCTACCCCGAAGATCATACGATGTGCTCTATGTAGAAAAGATACAAAGGTACTATACAGTCTAATCTGATAATGTTGAGCTCGAGTCGCCGATATGCAATGTCCTTGGCTTAGATTAAAGATGTGTGCAATCAGTCATATCAATCTTCAGCAAACAGTTTTATTCCTACGATCAATGCAAAATGGCATCTGAAAGTAAACCATTCTTATTGGATGAGGAAATATCAGAAGATGAAAAACTTGGGAATAGACAAGACAATGCCAACCTAACTCTGAGAGTCGTCTTCCTACATCTTTCACTCATACTATTATATACCAACATTTTTTTACTCGCCCTACTCCGATCAACTTGTCCAATATCAACCTCGATTCATCGTACGCTTCATGACTTTCCAATGACCTTCAGGTGCTATCGTACTCATTCATTCTAGCTTTACCAGGTGTGAGGATTCGATATGTACCAGTTGCTCCTCCCGATCTCCCATCGTCACCTTACGCTGGGCCTCCGAGCGAGTCGGTAGACCAAGCATGGCATGATCTATTGAAAGACATGAATATACGGGTCACAGCTGAAGAATTGGAAAAGAGGAATCAAAAGTCCATATCTTTACCAGAAGGTGGTGGTCATATGGTCTGGATTGGAGCTCACCATCAACTGCATTGCATCGCAAGTTTCATCTGAATTATTATTTCAGCTAAGAAACTGACAAGTCGACAGAAAATGCTTCGACGCTGGAACTATCGGGATCACTACTATCCCAACATAACAGACCCAACAATTGAACATTGGGATATCCATGCAGGTAGCCTTTCCCTCTCCTCGTCACCAAGATGAAGATGCTGACGCAGTAGTCAGATCACTGTTTCGATATTTTACGCAGTGCAGTAATGTGTCAAGGCGACACAACGCTTACAACTTTCGGATGGGAAAAACTATCCAAGCCACAGCCACACGTCAAACCGACAGAACATCGATGCGTGGATTGGGACGCGCTAATGGGTTCTCTCGCCGATCGTGTAGTTGGTGAGGAAGAGATGGCTGCGCTTGTAAATCCTAGATTGGAAGGGGGTGCATAATCGGGATGGAGTTCGGAGCCGTTGGGCTGCGGATATGTGAAGGACGATAGTGGCAATGAAACATCTATATCTTTTAACGCTTTTGGTACAACACAATATTCTTGGTTGGGAGAATTAAGCTGTGTTGACCGTTTTTGAGACAGCTGCTTCTTGTCGATTGACGCGTCTTGGCTAACTGTTCAAAATTTGCAGTGGCATGATTTGATCTTGTAACTATCTAGAGTTCCATTGTCAGGATTTTAGTGTATAAAGGTAAACCAATAAATCTTGAGTACTCAGCTTCTGTCAGATTTACATTTCATGACAGATTTCTTAACTCCTGAGACAACAATTTAAGCTATACGCTACCCACTCTTTAGCAATGCGACTATCATACAAATTCTATCTCGTTGCAACTATCCTATTCACTTTTGTGCAAATTCCAGCTGTTCAGGCAATCTCCTTCCGATTTCTCCAAAGATTGTCTTAAATTTCGACTCGTCAGAGTTGGTTGCCCCTATCTTTTTCTCTCATCCCTCGCGATCTAATCTCTGTCTCTCTCCAACCCAATCCTGCAGCTCTTCCCAATTCACACACATATGCTCAGTACCCCATCCCGTTACACCCTGTATCACTCCCGTCAGCAAACATTCTTTCTTATCTTCATCCACTTCTTGCCTTTTCTTTGCTATGACAATTACCCTTTTTCTCAAGCCACAATATAACCACATCAACCTTTCGTTAAAATACAAAAGAAAGCTCACTTTAAGCGAAGAGGAGATGAACCTACTTTCAACTCAGGATTGACCCTCTCAATACTGCTGTCCCCACAGCACATCAAACTCTGCCTCAAAAAATCAATACAATGCCTCATGTGACTTCTTCTCATATGAGGTTCCAATTCTTCCTCAAGAAGTACTGTTCCTGTTGTTGCTGCGTCATTATTGAGGTAGTAAATGTGACGTATTCCATCCTAGACTACCGTTAATAACTATTACTGGGATATGATATGATAAATTCTTGTTGGAAAAGAAAATCAATGAAGATGGGGAGAAGGTGAGTCAGATATGGGATCAAAAAATAGACAGAAATACATCCGTACCAAACAATGTAACTGATGCAAGACGCTTAATGTAGCTCTTCCTCCTTCCACATAAGGATGGTTGAAGAATCCCCCATCACCTTTCGTCATAAACAATCCATTCCAAGCAGCATCTGTGGTATTAGATGGCGGATACGAGAAATTGCGGTTATAGGAGAAAGTACTCAGTTCTTTAGCGACTAATCAGTTGATATTAGCTTCACGAGAATTTAATAAGTTTAGAGAAAGAGTGCATACATCGAGGTCCTACACGGGCAGCAATCGACTGTGTGTCTAGAAGTCTTGCAGCAAGAAACCCCAGTGTACAGGATGCGAAACAAAGGGTGAAGATTAGCAAAATATTCAATCTCAAGCTCAGTTTGTTCTTGGAACTCTTGTGAAGCCCCGGTTTTGTTTCTTCATCAGGATCGACGGTGACGGGTGCGTAAACAGGTTGTCTCGTGATTAAAGGAAACCACATTGTGCCAAGAAATTTGAACATATTTGTGCGTCACTCTACCATACAGTAAAGTATATAAAAAGGTCCAACTTGTTAACTCACAATATGAATTGTTTATTCTCTCTCTCAGTATCACAGAAAGAACTGAATTGCTCGTGGCGGTACGAGATAAAGAAGTCATGAATACAGAGAGGCGTCTCTAATTTCATGCACGACCACTTTAAAGCATATTAAGCTCAAAGTCCGATACTGTATGTGAAATATCTGCGACATTTTTCTCTGCACAATAGCATTTCTAGCACGAGTTGAAGAGGATCGTACGACTGCCAACCGCGTTCTTATCGTCTTGGAGTCTTGGTATGTTGTACATGCACGACCATGATATAAGCCGTGTATAACAATAGAAATCTTGAGAATTTCTTTTCCTTCAATTTAAATAAACATAAATTCCATATATTCTGAAAAACTGCAGATACACAATAGCTCTGAAATATCCATTGCCATCGTATCATCGATACATCTTCACGATACAAGAAGAGGCGTAAGCCGAACTTTATAGATAGCAACCCAAGAACATACCATGCGTCGGGGAATATAATCCCCTCGGAAGTCATCCACTCTCCGACTTGGAAGAAGGAAGGAAGCGGAGTCCCGTAATCTCTAATCAGCCAGCCCGCCGGAAGTGCCATCCTGTAAGTAGCTTGATGGCAACAATCAACTTCTTTTAAATTAACTTCCAGAAGATTGTCATCAGGTCTTCAAGCCGAAAGTTGCCGTCTTTTCTCCTGTCTCCATGGCGTGATTTGTTATTTTTAATTCTTAAGCCAGAATCAGGGGCCTGAATAGATTTTCTTCGAAATGAGGGATCAGATAAACGGGAATGAGGGGGAATATGTCTCTGCATGTCGTGCAAATTGGATTTATTGAGGGTTAAAATCTAGGTAGCAATGTTCCACGGCATTTGAAAGGACGGGATAGTATTGGATGTTTATGTGTGGACGAGTATGGTTCCAAGAAAAGGCGATTCGTTCGCGAGATGAGCGTCAATGTGCTTATTGTTCCACGCGAAAGGGATGGATGGGTATTATTGGATGGCATCTAGGGCTTTTTCTTGGAGAGAAAGAGTGGTATGAGAAGTTTTGGAGATAGACGGAAAGGATTTGAATGAGACATAAAAATGGAGGATTGTGGAGTTTAAATGCTCATCTTCAATGAACATGAACTATCAGCGATACATCGAAAGAGTAAATCGTGTTGGACTAAGTACTTACATGTACGACCACCAAGACCCAATGCTATTGCTCATGTAATACCACTTTGGCCACAAAGTTCAGAACCTCGTGTCTAAGTAATGTATCTAAGCATCCCAGCTCCTTATTTCTCGGAGCGCTGGCAAATCAAATTGCCAAGTCATGTAATAGAATGTCCGAGCCGTTGCTTCTGCGAGCAGAATTCATTCCATTGAAGAATCTCCCAGCTCAGCCGTTTCCACTTTCACCCCCCTCACGATTCTGTACCATCTAGCCATGCGTCGCGTCGAGGGGGTGGAGGATTCCAATTAATAGTATATGGTAGGTATGTAGTACAGCACTTGTCGGCGCTACGGATAATAAACCAGTCATATATGTAAAAATATCCCCACTCGAGTCCAGAGATATTGTGTTTGAAGTATAGTCCAACATCTACGTGATATTCTCTCCCAGACAACAACCATCATAGTTAACTCCCACACTATGGCGATCCCAGAAGTTGCCGTCGGCGGCGTCGTCGCAAATGTGATTCTTGTTGTGCTCGCAACTATTATAGTTTCCCTACGCTTCTATGCAAGAAAGAGAAGTAAGCTGGCCTTACAAGCTGATGATTGGTTGATATTCTTCTGCTTGGTATGTTCATCTTCTCATCAACTCATCGTGTGCACCATTAATGTTTGTTTGGTAGATATGCTCAATTGCGTTATGCGTTGAATGCATCTATGCAGCCGCGAGTGGACTCCGAGGAGTTCATCTATCGACTTTGAGCTTCCCAGATATCGAACGGTTCTTTGAAGTCCAATTTGCGGATACTTTGATTTGCCATTTTGTGTATGGACTTATCAAAATATCAGTCGTGATTTTCTATAAACGCATTTTCACTAGCCGGACCTTCATCATCTGTGCAAATACCGTATTGGGCATGATTTCATTGTATATGATTTTGTCATTCTTCGTAAGTATCAATGATATCAACTGGAAGTGTGGCACTAAAGACATAACCCATTTAGCTGTTCCTCTTTTCGGCCCATCCTGTCGCAGCGTATTGGAATACTACACCCGAATTGATTGGCACCCAGTTTATTTTGGATGTTCCGAATCTCGTTATCGCGTGCGCAGCTGTGGATATCTTCCTTGATATCGCAGTCCTAAGTCTTCCATTCCCTGTGATAAAGGGCCTTCATATGCCGACAGAGAAGAAAGTTTATGTGTCAGGTGTTTTCCTTCTTGGTGCTTTGTAAGAATTCAGTGTCAATGCAGACAAATAGTACACTTTGCTGATACCAAATCATTATAGCTGTCTCATCTCATCTTGTATCAGACTTTACTATTCCCAGAAACTATTCGGAACCAGCACACCTGATCTCAGTAAGTCTGCCATGACCTATCATCTCGCAGCTCTAACCTAAAAATCATCAGAACTCGACGAAGAAGTCTATCTCTGGGCTCACATCGAAGCCTACGCCAGCACTATAACTGCCTGTCTTCCCTGTCTCGCACCTCTTCTCCGCGGTGGTCGCAGCCTCGGCTCTATGATCGGTAGCGTGCGTTCTAAACTCTCTATCCGCAGCAAGAACAGTTCCTTGTTCCGAAAACACTCGTCTGACTCCACATCCAACAATCTACCAAGCCCTCTTTCCGAAAAGTCACCTTGGAATGACGATGGATCAGGACTAACCTCAATTGTTACGGGTGGAGCTAGAGATTTGGAGAGTCAGAGATATCCCAAGTACCCCGAGGAGAGAATTCTGGTGGAGAAGAGCTTTGTTTCGGCTGCTGGATCAGCGGTTAATTGATGGGGTATATTGAGTTGATAGGGACAAGACCTGGCTTTGAAGAGAGTCCTTAAATGGCTGTGTTTGTACTTGGAGGATAGGCACTTAAGGATAGATCCGTCCTTTATGTAAGATTTTATGGAAATGAAACTTCAAGTGGCATTGCATTGTCTTGTGCTTTTCTAAATAGATTTCTCGAATTAAGATTTCGATCACCTTTCAAAGGGCAGTGTTGCTCGAAGCATGCCTTGTCCTTGTTGGTTTGAAAATACCAATCGTTAGTCAACAAAACTTAATAGTCTTACTTCTGTCCATCCCAGTCACTAGACTAAGCTTTTAGGTGCAAAAGCTAACTGGCCCTCCCTAAAAGTCTATGTTGCACATCTTTAGTCCGTTTGCTACATGCCTCATCCTGGTGGACATGGGATAGTTCTATTTAGTTCTTGCAATTGTTTGTATTGGAGGATATCAATCGTAAAACTTCATGGATCATAGTTAACCTCAATCGACAAATAAGAATCCTTGCACAATTTTCGAATAAGAAAGTCAACGTGAGCTTCACATAGTCGATATGTTAGAACATAATTCACAATTCATTTTCAAAACCAAAGGATGACCGTGGATCCTCGCGAGATCCCACATACCCCACAATCCCACCCCGCATTAAACCGTTTATTCAAGATTCTAGTCGTAGTATCGACGTTTTCTGTGGATTTGGTATGTTTCAGATTTTTTCAATGCTCAAATGCGACCTCAAAGATTCCAGAAGCCTCAATGTCGGTATTCAAAGACCCCAAGCGCGCGCATGTACTGTACTGCCCTGTCCTGACCCACCAGACCTACACCAACTTGAGGCTGAGTAGACGTGAGCCCTGACATATAGATACACGTTGAAACCCTATCTAGAGAATTAGAAGTCAAAGATCCAATTTAGACGTTCTTTAAGATTTCTACTTTCTTTTGTTTTTGTCTTTTATTTTCGCATAATTGTAATTTTTTGAGTGCCTTGCAGAATCACTAGTCTCTCGTTATTCATCATTGCTTGTAAATTTCACGCTGCTTCACACAAGATACGGCCAGCCAAAACATGGCAATTCAAAATCTAGATTTGATTCCTCGATTTCCCAAGAGGCGTGAAATACAAAAGCTTTCTGTCAACACCACCGTCACTCTCAATGCCGTCCCAGCTCAATCACCCATTCCACTGCCTAAATCGGCATCAAAGATCATGACTCTCTCCGCCTATACCAGAGATTTATCATTATGGGGGATCCCACGCTGGCCATTTGAACCAAAAATGGAGCGAATACGCACACTCGTATTGGATCGCTTGGGCTTACGAGATGATAATCCTTGCATAGTATCATTTGAAAACAGGACGGCATTCAAGAAAGTCTACAAGGTTATTGTTTATCAGATGGTAAAGTGGAGAGAAGGTTGGGAAGAGAAGAAAGAGAGGGTTTATCATTTGAGCGTTCGATATCCTTTGCAGGAGAGTGACGAGACGCTGAGTGAAGTAGCAACCATGAAGTTTGCGCGAAAGTCAGGAGTTCCCGCCCCCCGAGTAATTGCTTGGGATGCGAATAGAAGGAATAAATTGGGATTCGAGTGGATTTTGGTGCGAAAATTGGAGGGAAAATACCTCAAGGATGAATGGGAAGATTTGTCATTTGCTCAAAAGGAGAAAGTGGTGAAAAACATAGCGAAATATCAAGCAAAACTATATGCAACTAGTTTCGACGACATTGGAAACCTTTTCGACGCGAAAGACGCAGATGATTACATCACGGACTATAGATACGGTGATTTCAGTACTTCGCATCAAATATCGAGAGAAGTCCGACCCTTTGTTGGGCGGTTAATATCTATTGCTGCGATTAGTGACAGAAATTCGTACTGTTCTTTCCCGGACAGCAGTTCCTATTTAGAAGCACTGTTGGTACCCATATGGAAGGAGTTATCGACGACATTACGAACCTCGACTAATGAAGAAGAAATGATCGAAGCACAAAGTCTTCAGAAGCTTGTTCAAAAAGTGCATGCTAAGGTTCTTCAGACATTTCCAGAAACAAGGGTATCCACAGTCCTTGTCCATGACGATTTATCGATGAGAAACATTTTGATTGACGACATGGGAAATATAACAGGCATTCTTGGGTGGGAGAATGCGACGGCCATGCCGACCTGGAAAGCAACTCAGTATCCGCAATTCTTGAGTATTGACCATATACAACAATCAAGTACAGAATATCAAGAGAGCATCCATGAAAATGTAGAGGAAAGAGTTGAAGTAGTAAGACTAAGGCGTCTCTACGATGAGGAGATGGCTAAGAGGGTAGTCGCTTGGAAAGAAGAAATCAATCGAGGAAAAATAAGGAGAGAGCTTGAATTTGCGTGCAAATTTTGTAGTATTGAAAGCTGCGTAAAGGAAATTGATGACTGGGTAAATGCACTCGAAACTAATATACCCATAGCACTGGTAAAGCAATAAGCCAAGGTACGTACATCAATTTCTGACAAAAGGAAATTTTTCAATGAGAAGACATTGCTATGAAACTCCGGCTTTCTTTTCCTTCGCCATGCTGGTTACAATCTTCATTTCCTCGTCAGAAGGCATATTGACGATCATGAGATACAGTACATCCTATCAATACGTAAGTACAATGCTATCTATTTTTAAAAGTGGACTAGACTGACCTCGTGAAGCTTTCTTTTCGCAGTCTTCAAAATACCAGTTCTCTGAGGTTTGGGATTTTCATCTTTGGGCAAGCCTTTTCTCTCTCTTCTTCTCTCTTTTCTTGCAGTTCGCCCTAGATGACCACCGGACAATACTCCGATGATCCCACCTTGATTTACAGGGTGAGAGGGATCTGCCCAGCGTGATGAAGGCACTTGTTGCTCGCCAGCGTTTGAAACCAATGTCGTTGAGGGATTTTCGGTTGCCTGTTGCATAAGTCAAATTGTCATTTCTTATATCATTTTAACAAACCTAAAGTTCAAGATTGAAAAGACGCAAAAACGTACAAATTTAGCTGTGCTCCTCTTGTCTCTCCACACCCCAAACCAAACTCCTGCTTTTTTCATTGCATCTACTTTTTGTTCATCGGTAGCTGTCTCCAATAATGGAAATATTAATTCTGCACTTTCTGGCATCTGGGACTGTCCAATTGTTTTACCAGAGGTGGAATGGAACCCACTGCGGCCTTGAACTTCACGTGAGGCTACAGATGTGACTAGCTTTGTGTTCATATCAACAGTAGAGACAAGTGGTTGGGAAGCCGTAGAGTTGTTTGATTTCCAGGTCATAAGCATAGCATAGAGTCCATGTGGTTTGAATAGTTTCTCATTCATTCCGACAAGATATTTGTTCTGTCTAGGGAGTAGAATTAGATTCATACCTCCCAGCTTGACAATCAACGGATCTGATGGTACGTACTCTTTAGACATATATGCCCTTCTGCCAAACTCAATGCTGGTGTGCACTGCAAATGCCGCGGCGTGGACAATGATACTTGGTGCTACAGCGAGTCCTTCGGCCATCACACTCGCAGCCACAGCCAAGTTTATCACATGAAAGTATGGAGATGCCTGAACAATTTGTTAACACTTGTTCCATGTATCGCGCTGTTTACTGCTACCTAGATAGGTCGTACCTTGATAGATGCTTCAAATCCCACCAGAAAATCCATGAATGTATCTTGATCTATACCACAATCTATCAAGACTGGGGCATAAGCTCTTACGAATCCTCGGTGTTTAGATCCAGGTCTTCGCTCTGGTATAATTATTGGAACAGGAAGTCCTTGCTTTATATTTGGTCGAGTTGACGAGGATATGCCAGGGTGTTGTTTTCCAAAGTCTCCAAGTATTTGCTTAACACTCTCGGGTTCATCTACTATCTCCTGATCGTATGGAGACAGTTCGGCTTGCGTATCGTCTCTAACCCAGTCTCCTTCGTCATCTTCATCATAACTTTCGTATCCATGAGCATCGAAGGCGGTTGTAAAGCTATTATGTTCAATGGTCGGGGACTCTGAAGCCTCTGGGGTTTTTGCTCTTTGGACATTCCTTTCTTCGCTCTCCCCTGCACTAACTTTCTTTTCTTTGAAGGAGGCATATGCGTCAGTGCCGAACCCAATGATTCCACTAACTGCATCTCTTATAGGCCGTCGACTCATGACTTGTTTGATCGCTATTCCAGTGAGTGCGGACAGTGTGATGGTTTTTGGGTAACACAATTTGAGTGGAAGAGTGAGAATAAAGAACACATCCGGAGCATTCTCTATTGTTATAGCCCCGCATTCCTCGCGTTTCCACCGCAACAGATTTATAAAGCTACAGGAATGCAACACATAACGCATTTAGTTGATATAACTTCATTCCAAGGAGCCCACCTGTATATCTCTTTCAGACGCAGCAAAGTACCAACTGGACGACACACCAATCAAGGGAGAGCAGCATCTGTGCAACGCTTGGAGCGCTTCCCCTCGAAACTTTTTTCGTGCGAACCATACGTCAGGGCTAAATGAATTGAATTGTACAAATGAAGAATTAATTGTGGATTGCAGATGGTAATGGTGATGGTAGGACAATGCTTTTAAAAGAGGAGATTATAACTTCTAACCCGTGCGACCATGGGCCTGAATGCCCTACGAAATGATATGTAACCTGGAATGTTATGTCGCTTTTTATGGTAGGCAGTGCAGTGTATTTGGTCACCCCACGTCAACCGAGATCGCCGACAAGCAATATAAATCACAAAGTGTGTTTTTGGAGACAGGTACCTAATAACAAAATTCAGCGTTTCAATACCTACCTACCTAAGTACATATCGTGCTATTTAGCCTCATATCGCAGTATCTCACTACCTAGGTACCAATCGTAACTTTTATTACAGATCACTATTAATCATCCACTCATGATTATTAACACCCAAAACTAGTCATTTGATTAGTCTATACACCTAATTTCATAACTAGCTTTCAAAGAAAAAAGTACTTTTTTTAATATCATCTAATCGAACTTTTGAAATTGAAAATTCAATTCGATTAATACAACTTCAAATTTGTCACGGCACCAAGTACTCTACCACTCAGCCACGTAACCCCAAAAGGGTATAAGTAGTTTGATCAATATCAAACCTACTAAGTAGAGTTATAACCAATCCGTAACAAAATTAAAAAAAATTTATATTATAATATAAATCTCAATTAATAGAATCTATAAATAAAATTTAAATAAAATTAATCAAAAATTTATTGAATTGAAAGTGATTAAATAAAATAATAATTTTTTATATAGTTTTTAGACTTTTAAACTTTCAAAAGTTGAATTTTGATTTAATCACCTCTAATTTAATAAATTTTGAATCGAAATTATTTATATTTTATTTATTAATTCTATTAATTGAAATCTATATTTCTATATAAAGTTTTTTCAATTTGAAATTACATTGATTAAATTAAAAACAATTGAATTATTTTTATATAGGATTTAGCAAAAAATTGATTAAATCAAAAAAAGTTATGTTTTGAAAGCTAGTTATGAAATTGAGTATAGAGTGTTTGACTTAATAATTAGGGCTCTGTACTACCCGATACACGCTTTCAATATATAATCTGCTAAACATCACAATATGCACTAAACAGTCGGATTCTGTATGTATTTGTCACAAAAAGACTCCCTAGATCACTCATTCACCTTGAGTTTTTCAAATCATTATTACAAATTTCACACCACTTTATGACGGGTACCATTCGATCGATTAAACAGAATTACTATATAAGATTACATTACCCACCTTATGAGCCTCCTCCATACAAGATGATGAATGTTATTATACAAAGGTTGATTCTTCATCCATAAATTATCCAAATCATCTATTTGGCCACGATAACTTGGACACTGTCTCTTAAAGACTCGGTATAGGTATAGGTCTTCAACACTTTGAGACCAGCTGAGTCTAAGACCTTCTCCCATTGACTTTGAGTACGTTCCATTGCCGACAAAGCTGCCATCATAGTGAAATCAATGTTCATGGCCTGGAAATTGGTGCCACTGTTGGGAAGAACCATTTCATCAATCAAGATCGCAGAATTTGGGCCCATTGCCTCACGGAGATGGTCCAAAATGATCTTGCACTTGTCATCTGGCCAGTCATGCAAGATCTATATTGCGAAAGGTTAGTCATCTTATTCCGGCGTACTCTGCATGGAGGATATCACTTACGTTGCGCATGTAGTAGAATCTGGCATCTAATTTCAGAGTCAGTATGGTACAATCGATGAGATTCTTGCATTATTGAAGTACGTACTCTTGATTTGTTGGGGCGTGAAGAAATCTTGTGGTAAAGCTTTTACCCCATCGATGGATAAAGCATGCTTCAAAGTTATTGGAAGATCCTCAAGAATAACCTCGCCCTTGAGGGCAGGGAATCTAGTCTTGAGTTCTAAGCATTTATGACCAATTCCACCACCGACGTCAACAAACATGACTTGGGCTGGATCGAGGTCCTTGACATATTCCTCGAAAGGGAACAAGTCTAACCAGACATCCATTCCTTCTCTCTGAGCAGTCATCCACTCCATGAAGAAGCCGAGTTTCTCTGGATTTTGCTGGAACCATTCGAACAATGGGAGATCTGTGCGGTGTCCCATGTGAAATGGTGAGTATGATGCATCAGCAGGGTTCTTGTATCCAGTAGCCTTGAAGAACTCTGGGAGGACTTGAAATGCTGGACCAACACTATCGAAGCTAGAGACGGATTGTCTTAGTATATGTATCTTTGATTGCGATGATGTACTTACGTGTGGTTCATTCCAGCTTTAAGGCCAGGTTTGGCAAGTGCTTTTGTGATATTGTCTGCGATAAAAGTCTCTTCTCCGACCTCTGTTACGATATCTGTTGATGCCAAGAACCTCAAAATTCGACCTACAGGAGTTAGAGCCTGGTAAACATCTTTAATGGGTAGGAACATACTTAAAAGTAAAGGGTCACATTTGGTTTGCTCTGCTAATTCTGTCGTAGTCATGGGACCGCCGTTATCGGCTAAAATCTTGAAGAGATCGAGATCATTACCAGCACGGCAAAGTGCGGGTTGAATTGCCTTAAAAGTGAACGCATCAGCAAGTGGCTATATGAATATTATACGTCAAGCATTGACACGTACGAGGTAGATAAGACGCTGAATAGTTTCGCCAGAAGTCTCAAGGGACACAGCCGTCTTTCGAAGTTGATTAATGAGATTCTTGCGCGTGTTTTCATCAGCAACCTTGGCTGCCTCCGTGATTCTGGAAAGCGCAAGTTCGAGATCTCCAACGGAACCCATCTTGAAATTTTGTTTTAGAGAAATGTCACGGAAGAATTGAGTTTGGAGAGGTACAACGGTTGTATCTAAAAGGAAGATATTCAGAACGCCAATGACAACTTGGATGCAGTCCTCGGGACTTACATATATATACTAAATAAACGGCCAACGGTTGGGAGGCGAGGTATTGGCTCGGATTGGAAATGTTTAGCAATCTCGTACTCCGTACCGAATAAGCAACACAAGCGTCGACGTTGACAGCCCCTCTCAGAGCCTCGCCTGCTCACCAATTTTGGACCCCACGGACTTGATAGGCGTGAAATGCCATCGCCGGCTTAGTGGGGAGCATTGAGTTCGTACAACATAGGCCTATCTACAGTCCCAATACCGCCGGAATCAATCTCTTTCTTGGTCGTATCTTTCAGATGTTATCACGCCGCATGACAGCATACAGCCCTTGCTCCAGATCAATCGTGAACTACGACGTCCGCCATCAAGGCATCCATGTCACCGCTAGCAAGACCGGTATATGAAATCCCATATCAAAGCTTGTAGACACGAGATCATCTTGTAATCTCCGTTTCTATATTATTTATCACATACCTGGGCGGCAAACCATTTGATGATACCTTTGATAAGCATAAAAATCAAAGATCGGCGACCTCACCCTTAATGATTTTCATATCTAATCTAGAGCTACGGAGTTGAAGCGTGGGGTAAAAGACGGTGCCTCGGCCCTGGGACAGGGGCTAAATTGAAAATCGCCCATTTTTCCAAATGTCGTCCCAAATTAAATATTCAAGGGTATAATGACCTATGATATTGCATCAATTAAGCATGCTTAACCATGAAGCTGGTACTGGGGGGTACCGGGGGACGTGTCTATTTTGCTTCTTTGGATCCAATAGTACACCTCTACGTTGTAACCTTCGCTCGTGTGAAACCCTATGAGGGTTACAACTTACAACAAGAGGATGGTGAGCAATCACAGAATACGTATGTCAGCTTATTTTGCTGTAAATTCATCCAATAAGGGAAGTTGAAGCCCTTTCCTCTCAATGATTATGGAAGCTTAGACTCCTTCAGGATTTCTTTTCGAAGTTTGTCATTATCAAGCATAAGCAGGTCTCGGCGATCCTTCCAACTGCGGTAGTTTACACCTCGTTAGACGTTTAATCTTATAATAGCATTTTGGTTTTGCTGCAGTTCAGAAAAGTCTGGAATATTCAAGGCACGTTGCAAAGTTGCAGTCGGAAGTTCCCATTCCACTTCTTCATTTGATTTTATTAATTCAATGTCACTCCACTGTGTGACAGTGTGATAGTCTATCGATGAGAGGGTTGCAAGGCCACGTTTCGATCGTCGAGGCACATACTGGGGATACTGGGGTAGAACGGCGTAGAACTTTATGTCAATCACCTCACAATAATTTTGTGAGGTGATATATTGATCATTTCAGCATAGCGCTCTACCAGCAGGCAACACATTATAAGTTGTGGGCTTAAATGTGCGTTACGGCTTATTGATATATTGGCGGTCAGCCCCATAGCATTTACGACAGGTCTTATGCAAGCAGTATTAAGCGCTACACATCAATCACTATCTTCAGGTGTGAATGCCATCTTTTGTGAAGCGGGACAAGAGTACCACTGAGCGCTTCTATATTGAAGTGGCGAAGAGAATAAATTACGATGTACTATCGTCTATGTGTGTTACGAATGAGGGGTACTTCTCTCTCCGCACAATCCACTTTCGACTTTATGGCTTAATAGAGTGGGATATACACATTCTCTGTTCGGTATCTGCTCCGTGTCGGTGTACCCGAAATCTCAGAAATGCCACCTGCTGATTTCTGTCCAGGAAATATCCTCAATGGTGATATTCTCAGCACGGATGGGCCCAGAGAATATCTTTCTTATACTGCATACCATTCTCTGCAAGTATCGCTCTAGCCGCGGAGTTGGACGGCCACTCCTGGTAAACTGACCGGGTACTCGTAATAATAGGCGCAGTTTCTGTCTATGTCGAGCGATTAGGTGGCGCATCGACTGTGCCATTGTTGTAACCCGAGCCTAGTTGTCAGATCTCCTCACCCCATCTTCCTTCGTGAATGGATAATACATTGGGACACGTGGACAGCTCGGCATGGCATGGCATGGCAACAATCACATCTCTAGGCTCAATTCTCCCATATTCGAAGTTTTATGTTTGGTTTTGCTAATGTGCTGAATTTGTGTGAACGAGGATCGAAGGAACAGTACAATTTCCTCAATTTGTGCTATTCTCATACACAATCACACCAGCCATGCTTACACATCACATACCTAGATAGACATTGATTTCCACAAATTGTGATCATTGACTTGTTTGACTGATCCGATCTTAGGGGAAAGTTTATATCTACTTTCCAGCAATTCGGCACTCACGGATTCAAGATAGCTAACTCGACAATGGAGGCCCCAGCTGGAGGAAATGTCGATAGAGGACCAACTATCATGGCAATTATGTGGGCGCAAGCTGCTATTTCTTGCATTGTGGTCGCTTTGAGGTTTTGGGCCAGAATTACGATCAAAGCGCTCGGGAAAGATGATTGGATTATGCTTTGTACTTTGATCAAGTATGTATTGGTATTGGTACCCAATCAATCATGGCAATTGTTAACCATGATTCTGCTAGTTTTCTCGTTTTCTGTGGGTTTGTTACCGTCCAGGCTCTGCACGGCGGCGATAGGCATCTGTATTACATTCCTCTCGCAGAGCAAGAATTCGCGATCAAAATGACCTGGTTACTGCAGCCCTTTGTTATTCTAGCAATTTGCCTGGGGAAAGTATCGGTCGCTTTCTTGATAATGAGACTCCTTTCGCCCACTCCGAAATGGCCAAAGCCATTCCTTTGGTTTTGCATCATTTCGTGCCTCGTCTTCGTTTTCGTGGATATTGTTTTGACATACGTTCAATGTACACCTGCAAAGGCGCTTTGGAATCCAACCGTCCCACATACCTGCTGGGAGCCAAAAGTTCAATCGGATTTCGCGATCTTCTGTGCTACCTGGCTTGTTTTCATCGATGCGCTTCTTGCCGTTTCTCCCATATTGTTCTTTGGGAGGTTGAAAATGAGCTTGAGGAAAAAGATTGGAATCTGTGCACTCCTGGGAGGAGGTATTATGTATGTGACCTGCTACGGTCCTCACTTCATTGAGAAAGTCCCGGCTAACCACATTAATTTTAGAGCTGCGATTTGCGGATCAATAAAGATATCTTATTTGACAGAACTCAGTGCTCGAGCAGATATCACCTGTAAGGCTTCCATACTACAAGCAAACGCAAAAGCCGAGAATTCTAACATTGATATAGGGGCAACGTACGATTTGTTCGTTTGGAGTGGTGCTGAGGCATTTATCCTGATAGTCTGTGGAAGCATACCACCGTTGAAAATTCTCTGGGATCGTTACATCTCAAAGAAGACCGGCCAGACAAAGACATCGAGTTCGTCGTACATACAGTTTAGTAGCGGGAGATCTAGAGCCACAGCCCATCAATATGACGGAGTGACCTACGACATGAAGCCATTGGCTTCACCGTTACCTGGGAGAGAAGTAGATTTGGAGGATCAGAGGACATCGACAATACAGGAACACAGTGACTCTCTATCAATAGGAGATAGAGAAAGACCGCATTCCGTAGGAATAGGCAGGTGACTGATTGTATATGTATTTTGGCGATGGAAGGGAACCTTTACCCTTTGAATGTATGATATGTAGTTATGAGAACCGCAGACACAATGATACCCCAATGTATATGATTGAACAAAAGATCTACAGAACCTGCGGTCCCAATTGGTCTACCCGTACATGGTTTACTTTTGCCTCAACTCCGCGTTATGATCATGTATACTCTGTATCAATTCACCAAAAGCCGTTTATTACGCAATTCAGTAATGATGCTACGAACCCATGCTCACCAAAGACTTGGGTATCCGGGATTCTTCCAAGTAAACGAGTACGGAGTACATAAAATACCAAGACCAACACGTCCACCAACACGCCCCCATCATACTCTGACAGTGTAAGGCTTCTTATCACCAACCCCGCTCTGTCTTTAAGGAGATCAGCTCCAGTAAGATTCACTAAGGGAGCGGAGTATTCAACAAGGAAGATAGAAGATATTTCCCCCTGGAAGAAAACCCGAGTGCTGTGCCCCATAATCTAACTGTGATGAATTTGTCAAAGTTTATGATGCCAAATGCTAGATAGGTGGGTGAGCATACATACATATAGTATTTCGAATTTTCCATTTGATACTTTCGTGGTTTGTGTTTTTTTTCCTTGCATTCAACAGGAACATCCAATCCTACCACCGGTCGACATAGGTGAATAGGGAGAATCTGCTAGGCATCGGCATATTACACTTATTGCCTGACCTGGACACAACAATCGCCACGAACTGGTCAATTAACACCGATAATCGCCTCAGAATATACCCACCACTGCCTGGATTGTTGAGGGGTCAATGACAAGCTATTTCTGAGACTCTCCTGTTCGATTATCGATCACGGTGTTACACTACCGCTAATTTGATTTCAACAATACCATATCACTAGTGAGCATGAATCTTCAACATTCAACGCTAGTCTTTGGGCCACAGACGAATTCCTTTGACGCGGCCCATCTCTCCGCCGTTAGAAACTCTTTAGTCTCTAACAAACGCCTAAAGCCATTTTACAAGGCCATTGCGGGGCTTTCCGACTTCTTGCCAACACTACTGGCTCATGATTCTTCTCTGCAGAAACTACCTGCAGTAGAATACTGCACCTTCCTGATTCGATGGCTTGAGAACGGTTCATCAGCAGGAGAGCCAATGAATCAGGATTTACCGAACATGGTTTGCACGCCCCTCACGGTCATCATCCACGTTGTGCAGTTTTTCAATTATCTCGAGACCCACTATGGGCCTATTCACGCATATGATAATTTCCTTGCATCTGCGACTCCGGCCCAGGGGTTCTGTATCGGGTTTCTGACCGCAGCCGCTGTGACTTGTGCTTCGGATGAGGTCACTTTGGTCAAACTGTGCTCAAATGCCTTGCGACTTGCTCTTTGCATAGGTGCTTATGTTGATCTAGACCAGTCGAATGCGGGAGAGAATCTGACAACGGCTGTGATGGTTTCTTGGAGTGAGAAGAATAAACCCGTTTGCGATGTTTACGAGTTCTTGAAGGATTTTCCAGAAGTAAGTCGTCTTTCTAGCGCACAATTATGTGGCGAGTGTCACAAAGCCACATTTATACCGTGAAATTCTCCGGGCCACGTGAAATTCTCGGGGTTAAGGTTGTATGCTAATTTCTGGTGGCTGTGCTTAGGCTTATATTTCTGTTATCTCCGACAAAACGAAAATCACGATAACACTTCCCCAGAAACTTCGTGATTCCATATCAAAAGTCTTGCTGGATCAAGGGTATAGTGTAATACCATTGGTTGTCTTTGGTCGTTTTCATTCATCTGTTCAGACAAATGCCTGTCAGAAACTTATTCAACTATGTGCATCAACGGAATCTTTACAATTCCCCCAAGCAGAAAGTCTTCGGACCGCTTTGAGAACAGGTGAGGATGGACAAGAAATACGTGAAGGACCACTCCATGAAATAGCGCTGGTTTCATTGCTTTCAAGGCAATCGAAATGGTATGCGACCATTGCAAACACAGTTGCTCAATTGGATGCAAGTCAAAAGAGGCATGTACTTCAAGTAGGGTTTGTCGATTGCATTCCAAGTCGGCTTGTTCGTGAATTTAACCTCAAAGTCGTAAAGCTTAGCAAGTTCCTTCCCAATGATGGATCACATACCATTGCTACTCCTTTACAAGAAGACATTTTGCAATCTCGTCCATCAAAAGAGCATGTCTATCCCAAACACTCAATTGCAGTGGTTGGGTACTCATGCAAATTTCCTGGAGCAAATTCGCCCGAAGAGTTTTGGGATATCTTGACTGAAGGCAAGTCATTACTTCGAACGATACCAAATGGCAGATTCCCTACCGAAGGTCTGAGGAGGTCTTCGAAACAGCCATTCTATGGCAATTTCGTGGATGATATTGATGCATTTGATCATAGGTTTTTCCAGAAATCTCCTCGAGAAGCGGCGTCCATGGATCCACAACAAAGATTTTTACTTGAATGTTCCTATAACGCTCTCTCATCCAGTGGATATTTTGGCCGGCAATCAATGTCTAAAAGCAAAGGAGGCAATGAGCGAAATGATGTTGGATGTTTTTTCGGAGTTTGCGGTTCCGACTACAACGATAATATTGCTTCACATCCATCAAATGCATTCTCATCTTTGGGTAGTTTACGAGCATTTCTCAGTGGAAAAGTCAGTCATTTCTTTGGTTTTACAGGGCCTTCAGTGATCTACGACACAGCTTGCTCTTCTTCAGCTGTTGCAATCGACGCCGCATGTAAATCTCTGCAGGCCGGAGACTGTTCATCGGCTCTGGCAGGAGGTGTTTCGCTATACACTAGTCCTTATTTTTACGAAAACTTGGGGGCAGCGTCATTTTTGAGTCCGACCGGCGCTACAAAGCCGTTCGATGCGGGAGCCGATGGATATTGTAGAGGAGAGGGTGTAGGAATCGTTGTTTTGAAACGATTGGAGAATGCGATCGCAGACGATGACCCTATATTAGGAGTTATTGTTGGATCTGCTGTTAATCAGAGTATGAATTCAACGAGTATTACGGTGCCAAATCTGGAATCTCAGTCGATGTTGTTCGAAAAGGTGGCGGCACTTGCAGGCTCCAGTCCATCGGAATTTACATATGTCGAAGCTCATGGGACAGGAACCCCTATCGGGTAGGTTTATTTCTTCTTCTTCAATAATCTTGGAAGTCTATATCTTCTGCAATATTGCTAGGCTTGATGATTCAGGAGCTGACTCAAAGCAGAGATCCAATAGAAATAAATGCAATCCGCAAAGTATTTGGCGGGGCACACCGATCTATACCATTACATGTAGCATCGGTGAAAGGTAATATTGGTCATCTGGAAGGTGCCTCGGGTGTTGCGTCATTGATTAAGGTCCTTCTAATGATGAAGCACAAATCGATACCAAAACAAGCGAACCATTTGTCTTTAAACCCCAAGATAAGAGCTTTGGAAGCAGACAAGATGAAAATCCCGCTCCAGACAACACCATGGGAAGCTGATCTCCGTATCGCCAGCATCAACAACTACGGTGCATCTGGGAGCAATGCATCTATAGCCGTGGTTGAACCACCGTCCCAAGTTCTCGAGTCTCGTCATATTAACGGCCCAGAGAGTTCGCCTATGACAGCTAAATATCCTATCAGAGTATCTGCAAACTCTCCTGGAAGTTTGGCGGCCTTTTGCGATCGTCTGAAAACCCAAGTTTCCCAACTCTGTCAAAACTCTATTGCTTTGCGTGATCTTTCTTATGGTCTAGCAGAAACTCAGAACTGGAATTTCTCCAATGTTTTCACGGCGGCAGTCTCAGACCTTAGCGAACTAGACAATGCGCTGATAAACAGTGCGGAAGGCTACTTCACCATCCCCCAGAAAGTCAAGCCAGTAATATTGTGCTTCGGTGGACAAACAAGTGCTACAGCTTCCGTGGATCGGAATCTATATAATCAATCGACACTCTTCAGTCGTCATATTAATGATTGCGATGAGGTTCTGCGGTCCTTGGGAAAGAAATCCATATTCCCTAGCATCTTCGACTCCAGTCGAAGTTCTAGCACAGTCAATCTTCACTCCAAATTGTTTGTCCTGCAATATAGCGCTGCTAAGACGTGGCTAGATTCCGGTATCCAAGTTAGCTCGATGATCGGCCACAGTTTTGGACAATTGACAGCGTTGACAGTTGCAGGATCTCTCTCTCTGGAGGATGGATTGAAGCTTGTTGTTGGTCGTGCCGAATTGGTTGAGAGGTTGTGGGGCCATGATAAGGGTTCTATGCTAGCTGTCGAAACAGATCAAGATACTCTGAATAAGCTTATTGACTTGACGAGAAAGCAAGGGCCTGCATTTGAAGTCGAAGTTGCTTGTTACAACGGCCCGACAAGCTTTGTATTGGTCGGAACCCATCTCGCCATTGCGAAGGTCGAAGAAACCTTTAATAACAACGCAGTGGAGTTTTCGTCACTCAAAGCAAGGAAATTGGATGTTACCCACGGGTATCATTCCTCATTAACCGATGTTATTTTACCTGAGTACATGGAAATTGTGAAAGGTTTAAAGTTCGGCGAACCCAAGATTCACGTTGAAACATGCTCTGAAAATGAAGCATGGTTAATTCCTAGTCCCGAGCTGGTAGTTGAACACACGAGAACAGGAGTCTACTTTGGCAATGCAGTTGAGCGTATCAATCAAAAATTTGGTCCCTGCACATGGCTAGATGTTGGTTCTGGATCAGCCATCACCAAAATGGCTAGGAGAGCACTCAAGTCGGGAACATCCACTGTTCAATTGCATCAGTTCTTGGATATCAAACTAGACAACGAAAGAGCCATAGATCAACTGGCAAACACAACACTTGAACTTTGGAAAGCTGGGAGTAAAGCCCACTTTTGGCTTCATCATCGCTGCGAGAAAGATAGCTACAAAAGAATTGATTTGCCTCCTTATCAATTTGAGAAGGCACGTCATTGGTTGGAATGGAAAGAACCTCAGACCGCCGCGCCTC